CGGACAACTTTCTGTGGCTTTATAGCTCAATGATAAGGAGGTGGACTCTGGTGTGAGAGGACTCGGGTTCAAGTACAGTCTATGACACTTTTGATTTTGTTGACGTTTACATTTTTTCTAAAACATACTTAGTAATTAGGCCAACACATTTAAAATAGTTGCTAGACTGTAGTAAACTGTTGTAAACTTCACAATCTGCACCAACCAAACTGCAGGAAAAAAATGCAACTTTATTCAGTAACGGAGTAATCTGATTCATATACTCCCCCCGCTAATAAAAACTGAGGGTTGGCCGGGGCTCGAACCCCGATCACCCAAGCGAAAGTCTTGGACAATCCTGCTACACCACACAGGCGCTGGAGAAAACACTGGATCTAATAGCAAAGAGCGCTGAGTGAATGAGCCGTGCGGTTGTGCGGGACGCTTAAAATGCCTTATATGCAAGTTATTGCAAATGTTTGCCATATGATCTGCTACTCCTGTGCATTTTAGAATTCCAAATTAATGGTAGCTATATGTAACATGTGTAGTTTAAATTTTTGTATTGCTAATCAAAGTAAAAGTAGTCTGAATACAGTGTACACTCGTGTTTGTTTTGTTCCAATGTTTCATGTTCAATAACGCACTTGCTGCTGGCTATCCCATACTGTAGAAGAAGTCAGAAAGGAACTTTTGAGAAGAAGTGTTTTTATTAAAAAATAAGAAGTAAAAATAAGTAATAATGTAAAATACAATTGTATTGTTACAGTACTTACAATACAGTGCAGTAAGTTAGTACAGTGTTTTACAGAGTCAATCCTTTAAACTTCAGCATTCAGTAGCGACACTTTTAAACATAAAACACATTCTCACGATATTGCTAATACAAATTTATGATGGGGGGAAAACTTTCTTTCTCCGTGTTTTACAAATATAATGGAGTTGGCTGATGAATGTCTGTTTAGTTTCTGAACTGTATTGAACTAGATTGACCAGGGCTCGAGTCTACAGGAATGTCAAAAATCCAGTTCATATTCACATATGCAAAACATCTTCACATAGCCTATCACTCGAGCAAAAACCGAGCACGTTTTCTCCAGTGTTAAATAAAAAATACTTAGTAATTAGGCCAACACATTTAAAATAGTTGCTAGACTGTAGTAAACTGTTGTAAACTTCACAATCTGCACCAACCAAACTGCAGGAAAAAAATTCAACTTTATTCAGTAACAGAGTAATCTGATTCATATACTCCCCCCGCTAATAAAAATTGAGGATTGGCCGGGGCTCGAACCCCGATCGTCCAAGCAAAAGTCTTGGACCATCCTGCTACGCCACACAGGCGCTGGAGAAAACACTGGATCTAATACGAAAGGCCGCTGAGTGAATGAGCCGTGCGTATGTGCGGGACGCTTAAAATGCCTTATATGCAAGTTAATGCAAATGTTTGCCATATGATCTGCTACTCCTGTGCATTTTAGAATTCCTAATTAATGGTAGCTATATGTAACATGTGTAGTTTAAATTTTTTTAATTATACACAGCCTATATATTGCTAATCAAAGTAAAAGTATTCAGAATACAGTGTACACTCGTGTACATAACATCATAACTCAATACTTCAAAAACTCATAAACTTGGTACTTCACTCGGTACTTCAAAAAACTCAGAACTCGGAATACTTCAAAAACTCAGAAAACTCATAAAACATGTTCAGATCTTTCATAAAACTTGTCAACAATCTTCAGTAAAATACCAAACTTCATCAGTCGATGGTGGTTCCAGATATTGCTTTGAAAACAGTCTCTCCCACTTCTTTGTTTTGATTCTTCAGGCTGCATTTGTGCCGAGCCATGATTCTTCTGTGACGTGTCGTTCAATCACACGTTTCAGCTTCAGTGTCCAGATTCAGAAATCCAATTCAGTCCAAATTACAGTGCCTTGCGAAAGTATTCGGCCCCCTTGAACCTTTCAACATTTTGCCACATTTCAGGCTTCAAACATAAAGATATAAAATTTTACATTTTTGTCATGAATCAACAACAAGTGGGACACAATCGTGAAGTGGAACGAAATTTATTGGATAATTTAAACATTTTTAACAAATAAAAAACTGAAAAGTGGGGCGTGCAATATTATTCGGCCCCTTTACTTTCAGTGCAGCAAACTCACTCCAGAAGTTCAGTGAGGATCTTCGAATGATCCAATGTTGTCCTGAATGACTGATGATGAGAAATAGAATGCACCTGTGTCTAATCAAGTCTCCGTATAAATGCACCTGCTCTTTGATAGTCTCAGGGTTCTGTTTAAAGCGCAGAGAGAACCATGAAGACAAAGGACCACACCAGGCAGGTCCGAGATACTGTTGTGGAGAAGTTTAAAGCCGGATATGGATACAAAAAGATTTCCCAAGCTTTAAACATCTCAAGGAGCACTGTGCAAGCAATTATATTGAAATGGAAGGAGTGTCAGACCACTGCAAATCTACCAAGACCCGGCCGTCCCTCCAAACTTTCATCTCAAACAAGGAGAAGACTGATCAGAGATGCAGCCAAGAGGCCCATGATCACTCTGGATGAAGGGCAGATAACTACAGCTGAGGTGGGAGAGTCTGTCCATAGGACAACAATCAGTCGTGCACTGCACAAATCTGGCCTTTATGGAAGAGTGGCATTTCTCAAAGATATCCATAAAAAGTCTGGTTTAAAGTTTGCCACAAGCCACCTGGGAGACACACCAAACATGTGGAAGAAGGTGCTCTGGTCAGATGAAACCAAAATCGAACTTTTTGGCCACAATGCAAAACGATATGTTTGGCGTAAAAGCAACACAGCTCATCACCCTGAACACACCATCCCCACCTCAGCTGTAGTTATATGCAGTTCATCCAGAGTGATCATGGGCCCCTTGGCTGCATCTCTGATCAGTCTTCTCCTTGTTTGAGATGAAAGTTTGGAGGGACGGCTGGGTCTTGGTAGATTTGTAGTGGTCTGATACTCCTTCCATTTCAATATAATTGCTTGCACAGTGCTCCTTGAGATGTTTAAAGCTTGGGAAATCTTTTTGTATCCAAATCCGGCTTTAAACTTCTCCACAACAGTATCTCGGACCTGCCTGGTGTGTTCCTTTGTCTTCATGGTTCTCTCTGCGCTTTAAACAGAACCCTGAGACTATCAAAGAGCAGGTGCATGTATACGGAGACTTGATCACACACAGGTGCATTCTATTTCTCATCATCAGTCATTCAGGACAACATTGGATCATTCAAAGATCCTCACTGAACTTCTGGAGTGAGTTTGCTGCACTGAAAGTAAAGGGGCCGAATAATATTGCACGCCCCACTTTTCAGTTTTTTATTTGTTAAAAAAGTTTAAATTATCCAATAAATTTTGTTCCACTTCACGATTGTGTCCCACTTGTTGTTGATTCATGAAAAAAAATTAAAATTTTATATCTTTATGTTTGAAGCCTGAAATGTGGCGAAATGTTGAAAGGTTCAAGGGGGCCGAATACTTGCGCAAGGCACTGTATGTCCAAATTGTGTAATCCAATTTTTCCAAATGGTGTCTATGCAAAAGAGGACGATGGTATTGTCCATGTCTCAGCAGCTCACAGCAGGCCTGACTGGAATCAGGGGCTGTGCAGATTGTCCAAGTGCTGATCCAGATGCATTCTCTTGAGGTTTCTCAGTTTTGGCTTAAAAAAAACTAACACATTTTTGTGTAAAAAAAATAAGTCTTCTGTTCACTAGATGTTACAGACAAGGCCCGCATCCTCCACCACCTGAAGAAGATGACATGTCTGGGATCGCGTCTTTAATTCCGACAGAAGACATGTTTTATTGTCGATGGTAGAGACAGCACGAACAACACGAACAACAGAATGCAAGTGTATTATACAGAGCGGAGGCATGGAGACCTCCAATCAGCAGCTGCCACAGTGCCATGTAGCTTGGCCTTCAGATAGACAAAACAGTGTTTAGTGCTCACCAAGATCTGATTTTTTGCTTTGAAAAAAGCAGAGATAGTAAAGTGTCACAATGAAAACATGACTAAGTCATTTGACTGTTGTTCATACTCAGGACTCATGTTGTCAGGACTTGTCAGGACACAGACAATTTCATTGACATGAAGACTTGCTTTTGAGGAATAAACTTTTCACTTTGAGAAGGTGATGCACTTTGGCAAGTTATCCACCAGGTTTTGGCAGTTTGAACTAATTGTTCTGAAAAATGCACCAACAGTTGTGATGTATTCCATTTAGTCGAAAATCAAGAATGTATTGTGTTACGGCCGCTGGCGCTGGGCCGCGTCGTACACCCGCTTCCCTCCCTCCTGTGTTGTGCTGCTGTTCTGCTCAGGCTCCGCCCCGCTGCATGGTGCACCGGCTACGCACGCTGCCTCCCAGTTCTGCCTTCCGTTCGGAGATTGGGTCGCGCTTTCCACGTCTGGCCAATCCATCGCTGCGGCTAATCAGCACCAGCCTTGAAAACGAGTCTGCTCCTTCTGTGCGGGGCGGCTTGAATCAGTGTCTTGTCTGCCACCGTTCTGAGAGAACGTGTTGTCTGTGTGCGCTAAAGATTAAGCTTAAGGTTGCCTGTGTGGCTCTGTGCTTGTGTTTATTTGAGAACCCTGTGTTTTTGTGTGTTTTATTTGACTCTGACGCTGTCCAGTACAAACTGTTACCCCTTTTGCCTGTTTTATTAAAAGGCCATCTAATTTACCATTATTACATCCTTGGTTTTATGTTACTTCCCTCTTCCCCTACGAGCTCAACTGTAGGGTCGTAACATATTTGGGGGCTCGTCCGGGATCTACACGTTCCCGGCATTAGGTGGCCGAATCAAATTTATTAGGTAAGTGGGGGGGTAAGCTGTATTGTATTTGGACATTGGGAGAATGGCAACCGCTTTCAATTTACAGGCATTCTTGCTTCATCCCTCGGCCGAAGCACTTGAGCGCTGTAAAAAGAAGGATCTATTTGAGGTTGCCGATCATTTTGAGATTTTGTATTCCCGTCAGAGCAGCAAGGCCGAACTCAAGGTGCTGCTCCTGGATGGTTTGGTGGAGAGGGGCTTGCGTTTGATCCCAGAGGCTGAGAGGTCTGATGAGAGCATCGTGCATGCGACTACCCCGAGACGTACGGAGACGCCTGCGGATGGCCCTCCCGGAGCGGAGCGTGAGTTTGTAGAGGGCGATGCGCGGCCTGAACCACCGCGCACTCCTCCTCGCTACGGGCCGCCCTCCCCAGCTCCTTCCTCTCCCGGCTCAGTTGGTGGTGCTCGGCGCGCTTTGCGGCTGGCACGCATCAAGATGGAGGCCGAGCAGAAGGATCGGGACCGCAGTGCCGAGCTCGAACTGCATATACGGAGGCTTGAGATCGAGGCTGACAAAGCTGTGCGCCTCAGACGCCTTGAGCTGGAGGCCGAAGGCCGCCTCCCCAGTCCTACTCAACGCCCGGGCGTCGCTGCACCTGCCACAGCCCTCTCCCCAGCTGTTCATGACTCTCTTGACGTGAGTAAAATGATACAAATTGTGCCTACATTTAGGGAGAGTGAGGTTGATTCGTATTTTTCTGCTTTTGAGAGAATCGCGATGGCGTTAAATTGGCCTCGTGAAGTTTGGCCTATCCTTGTGCAGTGTAAAGTGTACGGTAAAGCACAAGAGATAATCGCTGCGATGCCTCTTGCTGAGAGCCTGCAGTATGATGCAGTCAAGAGAGCAGTCTTACGCGCGTATGAGTTAGTGCCTGAGGCCTACAGACAGTCTTTTAGAAATCTCCGTAAAGCCCCGAGTCAAACGTGTGTTGAGTTCGCACGGGAAAAAGGAAATCTGTTTGACAAATGGTGTGCCTCTGCGAAGGCCCAAGATTTCGATTCTTTGCGTGAATTAATGTTGTTAGAAGACTTTAAGAACAACCTGCCTGCGCGTGTGGTTGTGTATTTGAATGAGCAAAAGGTTAAAACTATTTCTGAGGCTTCTGTGTTAGCAGATGAGTTTGTGTTGACTCATAAGAACTTTTCGTCATCTTCTGTTAATGAGACGCGTGTGTCTGTGCAGCCTGATCGTCCACGCTCTCCTGGAACCTCCACAAGGGACAGAGTCTGCTTCTACTGCCGCGAGCCCGGACACGTAATCGCAGACTGCCCTACTCTCAGACAAAAGGAAGAGTGTTCAGCTCCAAACGTTCAGAGCATTGGGTTAATTCAATCTGTAAGTCATAAGTCAGGACCCAATACTGTCCAAAATCACGGCTCCTGTTTTGAGCCTTTCATATCACAGGGCCTAGTATCACTGAATGGCGAAGCACCAGATCAACGCCCCATCCGTATCCTACGAGACACTGGCGGTTCCCAGAGCTTGATTTTGGCCAGTGCTCTCCCGTTTTCATACCGCTCTTACTGTGGTTACAGGAGTGTGTTACGGGGAGTTGAGATGGGCTACCGCCCGCGGCCCGTTCACTCTGTTCATGTCCAGTCAAACCTCGTTACAGGAAAGTTTCCGTTAGCTGTGGTCCCTGCGCTACCCATTGAAAATGTAGACATGATTTTATGTAATGATTTGGCAGGGGGCATGGTGTTTCCTCCCCTGTTGGAGGCGGTTCTGTCCCCGCTTGTGTGTGCCTCTGATCGTCAGATGCCCACGGGTTGTGCTGTGGCGCACACCCGTCCTCCAGAACAGTGCGGTTGTAGTCTGCCCGCCAGTCCAGTGAAACCACGAGTACCGCCGCACTTTACTCCACCCGCCACTTCTGTACGGAAGCACAAGGCTAGGGCCACCAGGCTTGGGTCAGGCGAGCGGCACTTTCAGCACCATGGAGAGCGTTTTGGCTCTCGCTCTGCAAGTTTCAGTTCGCGGCCTTGATCTGTGTGTTCCTTTGAGGGATTCGCCACGAGAGAGGCAAAGTCTGTGATTCTGTGTTCGGGTGAGTAATTCACAAATTTGCTCTGATTTTACTTTGAGATGGCTTGTATTTTAAGGGGGGGAGTGTTACGGCCGCTGGCGCTGGGCCGCGTCGTACACCCGCTTCCCTCCCTCCTGTGTTGTGCTGCTGTTCTGCTCAGGCTCCGCCCCGCTGCATGGTGCACCGGCTACGCACGCTGCCTCCCAGTTCTGCCTTCCGTTCGGAGATTGGGTCGCGCTTTCCACGTCTGGCCAATCCATCGCTGCGGCTAATCAGCACCAGCCTTGAAAACGAGTCTGCTCCTTCTGTGCGGGGCGGCTTGAATCAGTGTCTTGTCTGCCACCGTTCTGAGAGAACGTGTTGTCTGTGTGCGCTAAAGATTAAGCTTAAGGTTGCCTGTGTGGCTCTGTGCTTGTGTTTATTTGAGAACCCTGTGTTTTTGTGTGTTTTATTTGACTCTGACGCTGTCCAGTACAAACTGTTACCCCTTTTGCCTGTTTTATTAAAAGGCCATCTAATTTACCATTATTACATCCTTGGTTTTATGTTACTTCCCTCTTCCCCTACGAGCTCAACTGTAGGGTCGTAACATATTGATTCTTTCAATATTCAATGGATTGAATTTTGATCTCCTCTTCTTTTTCTTTCTCTTTATAATTTACTGAAAATTAGATATGTATTAGACATTGCCAGTATTATTCTATCAAATCACGCACGTCTAAATATCCACAACCACCAAGCATTTTTAATGCAAGGAGAAACTTAGGTAACTTTAAACACAAATAAAACAAATGGACCTGTCCGACTCGAGTGTCTATGCTTCGTGTGTCTCTGGTTCTGTCCAAGTGTCTATGATCCGCGTGTCTCGCGTGTCTCCGCCTGTCTGGGTTCTGTCTGCGTATATGTAAATGTAAATGTCTGTCTGTGGTTCTGTTCGGGTGTCTATGGTCCTGTCTGTGGTTCTGTTCGCGTGTCTATGGTCCGCGCTCGGAGCCCAGACGGCAGTGCGTTCACTGAGTTGTCAGAGCGGGGGTCACAGCAGCTGCTCCCGGGGCCAGAGCGGAGGATGTAACGTAACGTTCGGTTTATCAAAACATATCACAATATTTAACGTATAACACTAGTGAATTTCACCTAGATTTTTTCAGACATTAAAGACAAGATGTTATATAATAATTGTTTAATGAAAAAACAATTTTGCCAAAAAAATGACAATTGACCTATTTTTACTGTTTACTCGGAACGTGCCAGCGTGACATCCGACGGGTTTTCCCAGATCGCATCACATATATACGTTAATGCAATTTAATTATAAAGATTAACATTAGTACAAAATATGTATATGTTGTCTGTTATGCTCTTACTTTGAAAAAGCATTCAATAGCAACACATATACATTCACATGCACGGCTTGAACACACAGCCAATTTTACACATTTCCTTTTGACAAGGAAAGAAGATAACAATCTGATAATGTTACATAATTGCACACAAGCAACCAAAATATGTGCAACCAAAATTGCCTCAAACAAGAATCGAACCTGGGTTCTCCAGGTCCCAGTCTTCAATGTTAACCATTCGGCCAACATAGGATCTCTGGGCTAGACAGGTTTGCACGCAGTATGATACCTGAGCGTCTAAGTCGCTGGCAGAGCTAAAGCGGACTTAACCTGCCACCTTGTGGCGATAAGATGTAATATTTTTCACGCAGCTGCGTGATTCCCGAAAAGCGTGAATGAAGACGACAAAACGAAATGGGACCTACTGTATATTGTTTATCATTGTAATTTTGTTATTCTTTGATTTACTCTTATTGACATAAATATAGCGCCACCTAATGGATGAATACTGGCCATTCTATCTGCCATAGTTTGTCATGGGCTCTACTCTCAATATGTACATCTTGACATTTTTTGGATGAGTACATTTTGAAATATTTGAGCAACACTTTGTGGATGTGAGTGTGCCATAAAACTTATTATTTTGCATCAAAACACTTTCTCATAATGTGTTGTTGCTGTTTTCTAACATGTATGATCCTGGACATGTTTGAGGAGATGCTAAAGTCAAACTAAATAGTGTTACAATCACTTTTCTGCAGTTCGTCTGTTTTCACAAACACCTCATTTTCTAATTTTTTTGTCTAAGACTGGTGCTTTTTGTCACACTCCCCTCTTTTCGACTGGAGATCACAGGAGAACGAAACAAACTAAGAACAAACTTATTTTTGCTGCTGAAAGTAGACAGTCCAGTCTTTCAGACTCTGGTTTCATATTATTCATAGCACACCATATTCTGTGAGTCTTAAAAATCAGTGAAGTCATCCAAAAATGGCTGGCAGTCAATGAGAACCTCTTTTTCGTGTTCAAAAATTACATAAAATTATAAAACGGTCACATACAGATTATACAACAGTAACACACAATTTCATAAAATTACGGATTATAAAAACAGTTACATTTCACTGAAGATGTCTCAATCTGGATCTAAAAGCATTCAAGGAAATAAGATCAGATAATTTCTAGTTTTTTTGCAACACGTTCCATGTAGCAGGAGCAGCAAAAAGGAACAGAGAGCAACAAACGATAATTTGATCCAAACCATGAGAACATGTCTCTGTGTGAGTAAAGGGCAGATGTAAGAGGGCAGCAGACCAAGCCTTAGAAACTAAAGTGCACCAGAGTCCAAACCTTCTGTGGACAAAGATCCCACTCCAGAATATCACTCACAGTGAGGCTTTGCAGTTTGTAATGAATGAAACATTTAAAAAACATTTTTTCCTATATTTAAGCGCAGTCTTACTGTTGAAACTGTGTAAAATATTACATTAAATATACTTCTTTAGGAATGAAACCTCTGCCTTGTTTTTGCTTACTACGCTACTGTGTGGTGTTGGTCATTTGTGGTGGTACTTGGAGAGGCAAGTATTTTCTGAGGTGGTACTTGGTGTGAAAAGTTTGAGAACCACTGCCTTAAACCATCTCTCTGCAGTACTGACTGTTTGCAAAAGATGGCGCCACACTCACTGTTTTAGGCATAAAGTTGATCTTTCAACTAATTTGCAAAAAAATGTAAAAAAAAAAAAAAAAACATTTATCCAGTTTATCAACTTAAATAAGCCTTGTTCGGGATTTTAAACTACTTCAGAAGCCCTAAGGATTTTCATGGTGAAAACATTATTGGAAATCTCCTTGTGAAATTTGCTAGAGTATGTAACGGTCAGTGTTTTGATTTGATGGTCGACATTGAGTTCAACAAAGGATTACAAAGACATAATAAACAGCTCCAGATATGTTTTTGATGTGGATATGAATATGTAAAATGGTTAAAATCTCTAAAAAGTCTATGTTGAATGATGAAGGCCCTTTGTTAACAATTTACTTGGAAAAAAATTGGCAAAACTAAAATATAAGTACATAAACCGATTAATCGATTAGTTGTAAAAATTATCGCCTCATTAATCGATTATCAAAATAATCGTTAGTTGCAGCCCTACTGTGAGCAAAGACACGCTGCAAAGCTGCATATTGGAGAAGATCTGTACACAAGAAGCCGCTAGCATAGCTCTGTTAGCATTAGAGCCGGCCGGCTACTTCCGGTACTTCCGGCTCGCGTCAGGACGTTCTGGTGTGAAGTCTTCTGGGTCTGAAAACTAGAGAATGCGCGTCCGGTGAGCGGGGCTTCCGCGTTTCAGCGTTGGCGGTCTGAAAGCCCCATTACACTGGTGTTGTGGACCAGAACTATTCCTCCTTCCAGAAAAGATTCATAACACGCTCTCGGATCATGATTAACTCTCCGGCGCTCTGCAGCAAGCCTCAAGCGTTCCAAAATCCACTCACGGGGATCATCATCAAGAGGATCTTGACCTGGCTGAACAAGAAGTCAACTGGTAGCCTTGGTTCTCAAGCAATATCTAATAGAATGGAGATTCCACCGTGGATTGGTGAGGTGAGGTGTTGTATGCGTAAAGTACTTTTGGCAGACAAGAACACCAGTCACGCTTTCTTGATTGGCTCGGGGGCCCTGATACCCTACTAAGTGCTGCAGTCCAGTACTTTACTCTTGTATGGAGATACACGCCTCACTCATGGTTCACATCAACTTGTACTAAAATGCTTCTGAAATCAAACACATGAATCCAAACAAGTGAGGGCAAGGCATCTTTATGTTCATTTTTTTTTCAGCCTATTGTGATTTTTTTGTATAGAGATTTCAGGTTTAATCAATTTGAGAGGATACCCCATAAGCCTTTTGCGCTTGTAGGAAAGTGTAGAAAAGCCAAGCAGAGAAGTGCTCCCCAAGTGTTAGGTTTCTGTTTTACATTTTGTTGAATAACTTTCACTTTTGAGCACGTGCGCTATTGTCAGAGCAACATGCAGCCGCATGCGCTTCATTTATTTATTTTGTTCCTTGTGCGTCAGTGTGCGTTGATATATGTCCAGCTTTAGCCATATGTCTGTGTACTTAACAGTTTATCATTTGATGTGGTATATTTATTTGTGTTTGACGTGTAATATCAGTGAATTTGGCCTGCGGCCCACTGGGAAATTTTCCTTCTAATTCTCCATTTTTCCGGGGCGAAATGTTCACATATTTAAATGCTACTGTTCTCTTTGTCTCTATGGAGATTACACTACTTCACTTAATGTAAAAAAGTTAATTATGTCATCTCCTTGTTTAAGGGTTTTAATGTTAATATATCAGACAAAGAGAAAAGAAGCTCGTCTTACTGAGTCACCATACGTATCTGCGGTCGGCTTTGTCAGAGACACGTGATGATTACGTGTTTCTGATCAGGCTTTCACCTCGACTCACACACAGGACTCACTGCATTAGTCACATCAGGTAACAACAGCTGATCAGAGACTACTACATCATGTGTCTCTGACGAAGAAGTCTCCATGTTTCACAGTCCATCTCAAGCCCATGTGTGATAATAATTTGGGTAATACAGTATACAACACAAAAAACCTGTGATGTAATCTCAATTGAAGTGGGTTGTTCTCTGCTCTTCTATCTTTTTTGGCAATGTTTTTGTGTTTTCTTTCAGGGCGGTGGCCGGAGGATGAGGGCACAACATGAAATACCACTTTATCCTTCCACAGACTCCACGCAGCACATCCCTCTTCTTCCTCATTTCTTCCTGGATGTAGAAACAGACCAGCAAATCAGCCGCAGGGATTTACTCTCAGTTTTGGCCAATTTGACCAAAGTGATGGTGCGGGCGACATATAGCACCAGTCCCACGGCGGTGTACAGGTAAAATATGAGATTTCAGGTTAGGCTTTATAGGGCTGGTCTTCCTCTTCAGTCTCTCTCTCTGGTCCCTCTCTCTAGTCAGTCCCTGGTCTTGCTAGTCCTTCTGGTGTCTCTCTCTGGTCTCTCTCTATGTCTCTCCCTCTCTGGTGTCTCTCTCTCGCTCTCTGGGATCTCTTGCCATGTCTCTCTCTCTCTCTCTCTAGTCTCCCTCTCTGGTCTCTCTCTCTGCTCTCTCTTTCTGGATGATATCCATCTATCCATCCATCTTCTTCCCCTTAATCCATTCCTGGGTTGGGGGGGGGCAGTCAGAGCTGCACCCAGTTCAAAGAGCACCAGCCCCTCACTGATCCTCCTGTGGGTGGTGAGTCCATAGGAGCCTTGTTTATTTAGCAGGGGCTTCAGGCAAAGTGGGGTTAAGTGTCTTGCCCAGGGACACAACGATAGTAGTCATCAGTGGGAGTCCCTTTCTTTCTAGACGATAGTCCTTTATAATTGGCAGGGGTGCAGTGTGCAGTGACGTAGAGACTCAGATTGAAGTTTTGACTCTTTTGTTTTGACATGTTCCTTTCTCGTGAGAAAAGAGAACATGGGTTTACACATTACACAGGCCAACACTTTTTTTCAACTCAGGTCAAAAATCATCTCAATCATTATTGTTCCATAAAGTGATTGATTTCATATGAAAATAAATCTTATATCTTGTCGCTGCGGTTTACTTTTTTTTTTTTCTCCCTGCTGTGTGTGTAGACTGCACATGTTCTCCATGGAGGTGGCTGATCCATCTGAGAGCGACGAGAGGGGGGAGATCAGAAAGAGGGGAAGGGGGGGGGAGAGTGGGACGGTCTCAGCCTCCGCCGTGGAAATGTGCTCCTGTCCTCCAGGTTTCTCTGGAACTTCCTGTGAGGTAAACATCAGCCCACACAAGCAGGAGGCTGCATATACACACACAAACACACATACACACAGTCCATATACTCTGCTCTGCCCTAATCAGTCCTACTCTTGCATTCCCTCTTATCCAAACTCTTAATAAGGAAAAATAACACAAAAACAAAAACACACACCTGCCTTTATCCACAGGCTGCATTCAGGTTTCAATCTTTAAAAAACACTACACTCCACAATCTACAAACCTCAGAGTCAGAGTTTGTCTCAGTTAAAGGAGCTATACCCGTTTCTGCAAGGTTTGAATGTTTAGCACCGCCCCTCAACTCGCTCAGAGGCTTCTCATTTCCCCTACAATCTCATTCCACGGAGCCATCTAGTCTTTTTTGCGATCTGATATATTTGCTAACATTAGCATTAGCGCAACTTAAGCTGTACAACAATCACTGATGAAATGGTACAAAAGCAACGCACTGCTAACAAAATATATCACTGAAAGATTATCGTTAGTTCCGCGTCCGAATGTAATCCGAGCATAGATAGTCTGAGGCAGTCCCGCAGGTCTCTCCCATAGACAAGTCTCTCCAAAGGATACAATGTAAGCTAGCTATAGTCACCTGGGCTTGATTTCTTCTTTGATTTTTTTTCCCTCTTCTCTTCCTCACTGTTGTGTCAATTGGGCTGTTTGTTTGCTGTGTCTGCAGTTACAGCAAGAGCAGTTATAGCCAATTCTGCTAACATGCTACTGATTTTAGCAGCGCTGTAGAGGCTAGAGGGCGCTACCTCGTACTGTGAGTGGAGGAGAACCAGCGGCCCGCTAAAAGTCATCGCAGCACTTTGAATGGCCTAAACTCATGCTAATGCTGAATCAATGAGATCCAGTTTTCAATTAAATTACAGTTTTTAGTACAACTTGTATGTAGTTTTACAGATTTTTATGAACTCGATAGAAAAAAAATTGGGTATAGCTTCTTTATCTACTTTGTTGTCATTCTAGCATTTGATATATAATCTTTTTACAGTGATATCCTCCCATGATGTGGTTGTACCTGTGTCTTTGATGCGGTTGTATCTGTGTGTTTGATGTGGTTGTACCTGTGTCTTTGATGCGGTTGTATCTGTGTGTTTGATGTGGTTGTATCTGTGTGTTGGATGTGGTTGTACCTGTGTGTTTGATGTGGTTGTACATGTGTGTCTAGTGCGGTTGTATCTGTGTGTTTGATGTGGTTGTATCTGTGTGTCTAGTGCGGTTGTATCTGTGTGTTTGATGTGGTTGTACAGTATCAGTGTGTTTGATGTGGTTGTATCTGTGTGTTTGATGTGGTTGTACCTGTGTGTTTGATGTGGTTGTACCATTGTGTTTGATGTGGTTGTACCTGTGTGTCTAGTGCGGTTGTATAGTATCTGTGTGTTTGGTGTAGTTGTATATGTGTGTCTAGTGCGGTTGTATCTGTGTGTTTGATGTGGTTGTATCTGTGTGTTTGATGTGGTTGTACCTGTGTGTTTGGTGTGGTTGTACCTGTGTGTTTGGTGTGGTTGTACCTGTGTGTTTGATGTGGTTGTATCTGTGTGTTTGATGTGGTTGTACCTGTGTGTTAGATGTGGTTGTATCTGTGTGTTTGATGTGGTTGTACCTGTGTGTTAGATGTGGTTGTACCTGTGTGTTTGATGTGGTTGTACCTGTGTGTTTGATGTGGTTGTACCTGTGTGTTTGATGTGGTTGTACCTGTGTGTTTGGTGTGGTTGTACCTGTGTGTTTGGTGTGGTTGTACCTGTGTGTTTGATGTGGTTGTATCTGTGTGTTTGATGTGGTTGTACCTGTGTGTTAGATGTGGTTGTACCTGTGTGTTTGATGTGGTTGTATCTGTGTGTTTGGTGTGGTTGTACCTGTAAGTAAGTAAGTAAGTTTTTTATTTATATACCGCCTTTTCACTGCAGATCTGAGTCTCAAAGCAGTTTACAATTGTTAATTTTGGGCATTTGTCTCTCACTCCACACAGAGATGGGAGGGGCCAGTACAGGAGGCACATGCCAGACCTATTGTACATATTTTTAGTGGTAGGGGAAACCGGAGTACCCGGAGGAAACCTACGCAGACACGGGGAGAACATGCAAACTCCACTCAGAAAGGCCCTGGTCCGACCGGGATTCGAACCCAGGACCTTCTTGCTGAGAGGCGAGAGTGCTATCCACTCAGCCACCGTGCCGCCCTGTGTGTTTGGTGTGGTTGTACCTGTGTGTTTGATGTGGTTGTATCTGTGTGTTTGATGTGGTTGTATCTGTGTGTTTGATGTGGTTGTACCTGTGTGTTTGATGTGGTTGTATCTGTGTGTTTGGTGTGGTTGTACCTGTGTGTTTGGTGTGGTTGTACCTGTGTGTTTGATGTGGTTTTATCTGTGTGTTTGATGTGGTTGTACCTGTGTGTTTGATGTGGTTGTACCTGTGTGTTTGATGTGGTTGTACCTGTGTGTTAGATGTGGTTGTATCTGTGTGTTTGATGTGGTTGTACCTGTGCGTTTTGTGTGGTTGTATCTGTGTGTTTGGTGTGGTTGTACCTGTGTGTTAGATGTGGTTGTATCTGTGTGTTTGATGTGGTTGTACCTGTGTGTTAGATGTGGTTGTACCTGTGTGTTTGATGTGGTTGTACCTGTGTGTTTGATGTGGTTGTACCTGTGTGTTAGATGTGGTTGTACCTGTGTGTTAGATGTGGTTGTATCTGTGTGTTTGATGTGGTTGTACCTGTGTGTTAGATGTGGTTGTATCTGTGTGTTAGATGTGGTTGCATCTGTGTGTTTGATGTGGTTGTACCTGTGTGTTAGATGTGGTTGTATCTGTGTGTTTGATGTGGTTGTACCTGTGTGTTAGATGTGGTTGTACCTGTGTGTTAGATGTGGTTGTACCTGTGTGTTAGATGTGGTTGTATCTGTGTGTTTGGTGTGGTTGTACCTATGTGTTTGGTGTGGTTGTACCTGTGTCTTTGATGTGGTTGTACTTGTGTGTTTGATGTGGTTGTACCTGTGTGCTTGATGTGGTTGTACCTGTGTGTTAGATGTGGCTGTATCTGTGTGTTTGATGTGGTTGTACCTGTGTGTTAGATGTGGTTGTATCTGTGTGTTTGATGTGGTTCTACCTGTGTGTTAGATGTGGTTGTACCTGTGTGTTAGATGTGGTTGTACCTGTGTGTTAGATGTGGTTGTATCTGTGTGTTTGGTGTGGTTGTACCTATGTGTTTGGTGTGGTTGTACCTGTGTCTTTGATGTGGTTGTACTTGTGTGTTTGATGTGGTTGTACCTGTGTGCTTGATGTGGTTGTACCTGTGTGTTAGATGTGGCTGTATCTGTGTGTTTGATGTGGTTGTACCTGTGTGTTAGATGTGGTTGTATCTGTGTGTTTGATGTGGTTGTACCTGTGTGTTTGATGTGGTTGTACCTGTGCTTCAGTCGTGTGCAGTTGGATTTCGAAGAGTGGATGCCGTTCTCTACAAAGGCTTTTGTGAAGCTTGTCAATGCCACGGACACAGCTCTGAATGCGATCAGGTCACAGGTCACTGCCAGGTGAGTTTTAACTAAAACAACAACATGTCCCTGTGTTCTTAGAAACTTTGGCTGTAGATCCAGGACTGAGGCTGTGGATCTATAACTTCAATTATTTAAAATATGAATAATAGTATAATGTTGATTTTGTTGAACTTTCACTGCTGTGAAGCTATTTTTCTAAGTGTGGCACTCTAACAGTCTAGAGTTCTGAAACAAATCCTGATGGTCATGAATGCAATTGAGATGAGAAAACTAAGCAAAAGTTAATATTTTTCTCTCTCTATCTACCTGTCTATCTACAGTGGGGAAAAAAGTATTCAGTAAGCCACCAGTTCTCCCACTTAAAAATATGAGGGAGGCCTGTAATTACCATCATAGGTACTATGAGAGACCGAATGAGAAAAATAATCCAGATAATCACATGTCTGATTTTTTAAGAAATTATTTAGATTTTATGGTGGAAAATAAGTAACTACAAACAAGCAAGAATTCTGTCACAAACAGTCACACTCCAAACTCCACTATGGCCACTAAGACCAAAGAGCTGTCAAAGAACACCAGAAACAAAATTATAGACCTGCACCAGGCCGGGAAGACTGAATCTGCAATAGGTAAGCAGTTTTGTGTGAAGAAATTATTATAAGAAAGCAAAGGGATACATACAAGACCACTAATAATCTCCCTCAATCTGGGGCTCCACACAAGATCTCACCCCGTGGGGTCAAAATGGTCAAGAATGGTGTGCAAAAATCCCAGATCCACACAGGGACCTAGTGAATAACCTGTATGAGCTGAGACCAAAGTAACAAAGGCTACCATCAGTAAAACACTACCCCGCTAGGGACTCAAATCCTGCAGTGCCAGACGTGTGCTTTAGCCAGTAGATGTCCAGGCCCTTCTGAAGTTTGGTAGAGAGCATTTAGATGATCCAGAAGAGGATTGGGAGAATGTCACATGGTCAGATGAAACCAAAATAGAACTTTTTGGTAAAAACGCAACATGTCATGTTTGGAAGAGAGTTGCATCCAAAAGAACACCATACCTAATGTGAAGCTTGGGGATGGGAACATCATGCTTTGGGGCTGGTAATCAGCAGAGGGAACAGGACGACTGATCTGTGTAAAGGAAAGAATGAATGGAGCCACGTATTTTGATATTTTGAATGAAAACCTTCCATCAGCATGAAAATAATCCAAAACACACTGCCCGGGAAACTAAAGAGTGGCTTCGTAAGAAGCATTTCAAGGTCCTGGAGTGGCCTAGCCACAGTCTCCGGATCTCAACCCCATTGAAAATCTTTGGAGGGAGTTGAAAGTCAGTGTTACGTATCGACAGCCCCAAAACATCCCTGCTCTAGAAGAGATCTGCGTGGAGGAATGGGCCTAAGTGCAATAGTGTGTGAAAAACCTTGTGAAGACTTACAAAAAACGTTTGAGCTCTGTCATTGCCAAAAAAGGGTATATAACAAAGGTTTGAGATGAACTTTTCTTATTGACAAAATATTTATTATCCTCCCTCATTTGCAAATAAATTCTTTAAAAATCAAACATGTGATTTTTGTCTCTTATAGCTGAGGTATACCTATGATGAAAATTACAGGCCTCCCTCATCATTTTAAGTGCGAGAACTTGCACAATTGGTGGCTGACTAAATACTTGTTTGCCCCTGTATATCTCTCTGGTCTCTCTTTCTCTCTCTTACTATCTTTCTCTCTCTCTGGTCTATCTCTGTATCCATCTCTCTGGGTTCTCTTTCTGATCTCACTCTTGTCTCTCTCTATCTCTCTATGGTCTCTCTCTCACTCTTATCTTTCTCTCTCTCTCTCTCTCTCTCTCTCTCTCCCCTCCTCTCTCGTCTTGAATCTGATATTTCTGTATGCATAATGTTCTTTACCCCTACATTGGATTATATGAAAGACGTCTGAAATATCCCCTTTTAAACTGCTTGCTTACCCACAGCCCTTATGCCTCCGGTCTCCATAGCAACACTCACAGCCATATAATTAACTTTGACCTCCTCTCCATTGTTTGCCTCACTGCTGTCTGCGTGATTGTAATTAAATTTGACACCTTTATTTAGTTTTTATAAATGACTGTATCGACAAACGTCATGGGTTGTTTTGTGCCAGTGCATTATGTTAATTAGGTAATGAGTGCTAATTACGTTAGAGCAACTGCAAGGCCATTTAAACTTCTGAGAGAAGAGAAGCTGCATCTGAAAACTCAAGTGTTCTGAATAGGAAACCTTTTTACTTTACTATTACAATCCTTTACACATACAAGGAATTTACCCTTCAACAAATTATATATTATTTTTTGAAACCACACAAAAAAACAATGTCATTTGTTCCTGGCTGGCTTAACTAGTTTTCCCATCATTTATTTTTGGCCTTTTATTTATTACATCTTTTCTGTTTTCTCCCTGGTCTCTCTCCCTGGTCTCTCTCTCTGGTCCCTCTCTTTGGTCTTAAATTTAAACTTAAACATTGTGATATATGTATATATAGATATATTTTTTTTTCTGCCTGAGATGTTGCTTCAGTACAATGTGCAAAGTTTTGCACTGGTCCAGACCGGAGCGGAGAGGATTCATGGTCCAAACCAAGCGGATCAGGTGAAAATCCACTGGAGGAATGCTGACTTTTTGAAAAATGCTAATGATACATTTAGCATTTTACTTTGGACCAGAGCAGAGAAAATGGTCCAAACCAAGCGGCTACTCCACCTTTTGACCTGTCCTGCTCCACCCAGAGGCTACTCCACCTCTGCTGGTCTGACCCGTCCTGCTCCACCCAGAGGCTACTTTCTTTTTTAGAATGATCAATTTTCTTTTTTTCTTTTTGCTACTACTGGACACCTGAATTTCTCCTTCGGGGATCAATAAAGTATCTATCTATCTATCTATCTATCTATATATAGTCGCCCTTTTATTATATATGTAATAAAGGTGAAGGTCGTGGGTTCGCGAGCCCACCACAAGACCTTCTTCACGACTCCCACTGATGATGATGATGCAAGACACTTAACCCAGCTTTGACTAAAGCCTTCGCTGAAAGATCAAGGCTCCTGTGCTGGGTGCAGCTCTGACTGCCACCCCCCCAACCCAGAAATGGATTGATATATGGATATATATATATGTATATAATATATATATATATATAAAGTGGGGTTAAGTGTCTTGCCCAAGGACACAGCAACAGCAGTCATCAGTGGAGAAGGTCGCATGGTGGGCTCGAACCCACGACCTTCAGGCTCAAAGGCCAATGCTCTACCAACTGAGCTACTGTCGCCCACTAAATATGTATTTCCACAGACCTGCAAGGACAACACCATGGGTCCCTTCTGTGACCTCTGTGCACCTGGGTTCTATGGCAACGCATCTCGAGGCACGCCTTCCGACTGCAAGCCTTGTGCCTGCCCCTTGCACCTGCCAGGCAACAAGTGAGACACACAACACAGACAACACAACACAACCCATGTTCCCCCCAGATGCAAGACGATAAGTGAGGCACACACAACTAGAATTGCCCAGATTAAATGGTTTTACGATAATCGCGATTATAATACATGGCACAGTTTACCGCTGGCACGGAAAACTCCCATGAGGTGCAAAATGGGTCGCTGCACTCGGAGCAGCACCGACTCACCGGTAAATTGAAGTAGGCAGGACAAGCTCCCCCAGAGTTGTATCCACCATGACTTAAGTCAGCAGTGTGTTCTATACTACGGGTGACGTGTAGGTGGCGCTCTTGTAAACAAATGGCAACAGAATTGTCCTTTGGCATCCCAAATGCCCAGATGAAAACAGCAATTGCTCACATACAGTAGGTCCCATTTCGTTTTGTCGTCTTCATTCACGCTTTTTGGGAATCACGCAGCTGCGTGAAAAATATTACATCTTATTGCCACAAGGTGGCAGGTTAAGTCCGCTTTAGCTCTGCCAGCGACTTAGACGCTCAGGTATCATACTGCGTGCAAACCTGTCTAGCCCAGAGATCCTATGTTGGCCGAATGGTTAACATTGAAGACTGGGACCTGGAGAACCCAGGTTCGATTCTTGTCTGAGGCAATTTTGGTTGCTTGTGTGCAATTACGTAACGTTATCAGATTGTTATCTTCTTTCCTTGTCAAAAGGAAATGTGTAAAATTGGCTGTGTGTTCAAGCCGTGCATGTGAATGTATATGTGTTGCTATTGAATGCTTTTTCAAAGTAAGAGCATAACAGACAACATATACATATTTTGTACTAATGTTAATCTTTATAATTAAATTGCATTAACGTATATATGTGATGCGATCTGGGAAAACCCGTCGGATGTCACGCTGGCACGTTCCGAGTAAACAGTAAAAATAGGTCGATTGTCATTTTTTTGGCAAAATTGTTTTTTCATTAAACAATTATTATATAACATCTTGTCTTTAATGTCTGAAAAAATCTAGGTGAAATTCATTAGTGTTATACGTTAAATATTGTGATATGTTTTGATAAACCGAACGTTACGTTACATCCTCCGCTCTGGCCCCGGGAGCAGCTGCTGTGACCCCCGCTCTGACAGCTCAGTGAACGCACTGCCGTCTGGGCTCCGAGCGCGGACCATAGACACGCGAACAGAACCACAGACAGGACCATAGACACCCGAACAGAACCACAGACAGACATTTACATTTACATATACGCAGACAGAACCCAGACAGGCGGAGACACGCGGATCATAGACACTTGGACAGAACCAGAGACACACGAAGCATAGACACTCGAGTCGGACAGGTCCATTTGTTTTATTTGTGTTTAAAGTTACCTAAGTTTCTCCTTGCATTAAAAATGCTTGGTGATTGTGGATATTTAGACGTGCGTGATTTGATAGAATAATACTGGCAATGTCTAATACATATCTAATTTTCAGTAAATTATAAAGAGAAAGAAAAAGAAGAGGAGGTCAAAATTCAATCCATTGAATGTTGAAAGAATCAATACATTCTTGATTTTCGACTAATTCATGAGTGTTGTGTGTTTAATTGGTGCCAAAGTGACATCTTTTTAATCTTCTACAACATAGTGACTAAAACAAGTGTGCCATAACAGAGTAATTCAAAATTTACATGTTATATGACTGTGATGATTATGTTTGGAATGTCGATCTTTAAAACTGTTTTTCTCAGAATTCTGTTTCATAAAACCATGTAAATACGCTGACTTCAGATTATGAGAACTTTTGTTACAGACATGCTATGGAGAAAAGGAAAACAGATTTGAAAAGATATTGAAAGCAGCTTTAAGATGTGCGAGGCGAGCCTGGCCTGACTGCGCTCTCCTCCTCTGGGACCTACGGGCCACCTCAAGAAGTTCAAGTTTTCTAAAAAAAGATTAGAACGCAACATTTAGTTAAGACAGTTTTGAAGGCGGAGGTACTAACAAGGTGTGCCTAATAAAGTGGCCGGGGAGTGTAGATCCCCTTTTGATTTTAAACCTAATGTGGTCTTGGTTTTCCCAAAATAATAAAAACTACAACAACAAACAAACAAAATAATTATTACTTCTTTTAACTCTAAAGATTGAGCTCTGTAAAAATGATGGACAGAAATATAATCTCAACATGAGACATCACGCAGCGGAGACAAAGGACAAAAGCAGGATTTAAACCAGACAGCAGCACTGTAATCAGGGATGGGCTACAGTGCTGGCAACCTATATTTGTGATACAATATTCAGATTCATTTAGATTCAAATTCAGAATAATTTATTTGCCATTTGCAGTAAAACCACATTGGAACACATTTGCAAAAGTTCCCACGGTGCACAAGACAAGTACAGAGATAAAACAGATTAAAAGTACAGAAATTCTAATGATATTCAAATTTAGAATCTTCAAACCAACAATTGTGATGTCTGTGACGTGAATCCAAATACAAATTACTATCTCTTCATGTGTCTTTCTAGTGTTCAGAGTGAGAGACAGAGGGCGTTCAATCCACAGAACTACAGACAGAAACAGCTGAGAATTTTGACACGTCAGACAGAATGAGTGCTAAAGTTCTGTCCAGCGGCTCCCCAGAATAACCTTGCAGTCCCCACGTCTCCTGGCAGAATACAGTCAAATACAAATAGAGGATGATGACGTACAGAATTGTAAATCATAATAGAAAAATACATATCTATAACCTGCATTGGACCTAAGAAACTCATAAGTCACCACCCACATGGATGAGGTTATCATCATTAACATAAATTGGCATATTTTTGCTATAGGGCTTCTGACCAAAAAAAAAAAATAAAAAAAATAAAAAAATGGACTGTCTTTAGGTCAGTATATTGTTGTTTTTAGATAGCTTGTGTTCTTAGCGCTGTCTGAATGACCTGCATTAGCCTGACCTCCTGTTCTCTCTGAGGAACCTGATTCCTGTGCTAACTATAGTTAATAGAGGGGGGGGGCATGTTTGACAGTTGCACACTTATAGTTCATTTCACACACTATTTCCAAGGGGCACGGTTGTCCTCTGTGACCACAACAGCATAGATGCTAGCACACAGGGAATATATGTTTTTGATTTGACTGTTTCGGGAGCGGAATCATGGTTCTAACTCGTCTCTGTCTTCTCCTGTGTGTTTTTGCCTCACTGCCGCTTCTCCTGCTGGGACAACGCTATCGGAATGCTAACTTTCTCCAATCACATCAACCCAATCGTCGTCGCGGGGATGTCAAAAGCTTCAGCCCAACCTGCCACATGGGAGTCGAGGGGGAAGTGCTGTGTGACCAGTGTCCACTTGGATACAGCGGCCCCAGATGTGACCGGTAAATACAACATAAATAACACAAACCTGGAAAGCAATAATACATTTGTGTGCCTTGCATGCATTTCCATGTATTCTTTCACCAAAAGTTAATCCTACTTGTAATTACATTTTTGATTTTAGAATTGAATGGGTACTAACTGCTGGTCCACCGCAATCTGTAGTTTTCTCTGGAGATATTTTCTCAGCAGCCCCTCAACTGTGGTCGAATTGGAGTAATGATGTGCATTTACCCGGCCCAGAGACCAGGCCTGGTTTCCGTACTAATGTCTCAGTATAAGAAGGTTTGGGTTGTATGAGAAGGCCTTTGTGGTATTTGTATTTGTACACAAATACCGCAATGGTATTATTTATGTTTGTACACAAACACAAATACATTGAATTGAATGAAGGTGAATTAATGGAACTGTTAAGAGACAACTGAGAGGACTACTTCAATTAAGTTCTGTAGTATTTCTCATTGTGAATCTGTAGTCATCAGAACTCAAAACTATGTTACTCTATCTGTGTTGGCGTTATTAAGAAGCTAATCAACGCTCCGACTGCTTTACTAATTGATACCTGCTGCACTCCACCTGCCAGCTCTCTCCATTACTGCACTTCTTTGTTGTTATTAGGTTTAATTAAATATAATGTGGCAATTTGTCTGTGTTATTGGCTTTAACCACATCAGTTTCCCCCAACACTAACACACTCTCCGCTCAGAGAGTCCACTGTTCTGTTCATAAGCAGCATTTTTGCTCCTTATACTGTATGTATGTAGCTACAGCCGGAAGAATGTCCTTATGTGGAGCAACATCCGGAAGAAAAAGGGAGTTCTTTGTTGTTAAGTTAACAAAGAACTCCCTACCAAAGTTCTCAGATTGCTGCCATAAAGGTCAGGTAATTTATCTGAGAAATTAAATACAAAATGTGATTACTGGTATTCAAAATAGATTGTAAAGAAAGAGGGGATTTGGTGAGGGATACAAATTCATCAATGAAGCAATCGTTAAAGATCTTATTTTAAAAAACTGAATTTAACAAAATAAGATAACAGAAAAGCGTTTTGTTTTTTATTTGATACATTTTCACATAAAACATTCAATTCACTTCAATTCCATGTATTTGTGTATCGCCCTAAATCTCAACAGCAGTTGTCTTTACAATGTTGTGGATTCGACAAACAACAGATCAGAGAATCAAACAATTAAATGCAATAACAACAAACACATAGTAGTAGGATGACCACTGCGGCACGGTGGTTCTCAGCAAGAAGGCCCTCACTGTGTCTGCGTTGGTTTTCTCCGGGTACTCTGGTTTCCCCTGCCACTCAAAAATATGCTCAATAGGTAAAAATCCTCCAGCTACGGGAGTCCTGACCAAGCCGAGTATCAACATCTGGAGACTACAGCGACCACTGCTCCTGACGTAAACCTTAGTGGCATAAGGATGGGTCAAATTTAGAGGACAAATTGCACATTTACATTTACATTTTACATTTAATAAATATTCTTAAATTTCCTGGTTCATCACTACATTGCCACGCATACATTTTTGAGGATGAATCGCACGGAGAGAATTACATGATTTAAAGAGCGACTAAACACCAAATCATAAACTGCATAAATATGTTTATTATAGTGCTCTCTACATATCCTGGTCATTTTTCTGACATTTGAGTGCAAATTAGATAAAGTCTCACTTTTGAGCCTAAAAACGTCTGTGTGGCACCCTCTCAACCTTTTTGGTGGTACTACATTTGAATTTGGTCCTGGCCTCTCCATTGACTCTGTAATTCTGTGTGACGTCAGTTTGTATGTGTGACGTGCGTCCGTCTGCACCAGTGATATAAACCCATTCAACTCTCACACACGCCCCAGTAGCAGGTTGGAGTACCCTGGCGACATCTGTGGATTAAAATTAAATTACATGAGTTGACAACTACTGATGCTGAGATAAATCAGTGGCTTAGGTTCAGGTGTGTAGCTCTACAATTATCTTAGTGTGAAAACAAGGGAGGAATGACACTTTCTAGTGTGTAAACTATTGCTTCAAGCAGCAATGACAACTGTCTGTTTTTTTTGTGTGACTAGTGAGCTGTCAATCACAGCCCAGACCACGCCCAACTCTTGTCCCTTGGTTCTCCAGGCAACGCCCTTTTAAGAGAAAATTTTCAAATGTTCATGTGGGCGGAGTAAGGCTGGGCACAGGTGTTTAGTTGCTCTTTATGTGAAGGAGTAAAATCGATTCATTTAGATTAAGTAGATCCAGATTTCAAGGTATTCTGCTTCATCATCTGCTAATAAAGCTGTTTTTCACCAGTCCTGATGTGTTTGAATCATAGACTGTGGAAAGATGCACAATGCTAACCCTGCTAGCTCAGTGAAGCCCAATAGGGTAGTGCTGATGGTGAAGTTTGGCTCCAACTCTCTCTCACTCCTATTGACTTACATGTAAAAGTTAACTCCTCTAGCTCAGTAACTGTTTGCGGAGTGTGACACTCCACCATTTTTGGATTCCAGATATGAGCCATATAAGCATTGACCAATCAGATGCATTCATTCGTGGGTAGGGTTGCAACCGTCCCATAAAATCAGAATCAGAATCAGAATCCTTTTTATTGCCACGTAAGTAACAGGAGGTCACAGACTTGGAAATTGCTTTGGCTCAGTGCAACAGTCAGAAAGAGATAATAAAAATAAAGAATAAAAAACACTTCTAAGGAATACATTTAAATTTAAAATAGAGTTACAGTTACTATTGACAATATACAAGTGCACATGGTGCACATAATGTAAGGTGACAGCAGTACAGTGAAGTAAAGTGACGTGTGATGGGCAGTAAAGTGACTTTATAAAGGGCGGTTAAGAAGTGTTCAAGAGTCCAACAGCAGAGGGGGAAGAAACTGTTCTTGTGGCGGGAGGTTCTAGTCCTGATGGACCGCAGTCTCCTGCCTGAGGGGAGTGGTTGGAATAGTCCATGTGCAGGGTGAGAGGGGTCGGCTGTGATACGACCAGCCCGGCCTCGAGCTCGGGCGACGTATAGGTCCTATAGGTATAGGTACCTTTGCAGAGCGCACAATGCGCTGTAGTCTCTGTTTGTCCCTGACTGTGGCTCCAGCGACCCACACGGGGATGGAGGAGGTGAGGATGGACTCGATGATGGCCGTGTAGAACTGCACCAACATCTGTTCAGGCAGCTTGGCTTTCCTGAGCTGCCGCAGGAAGTACATCCTCTGCTGGGCCTTCTTGATGAGGGAGCTGATGGTCGGCTCCCACTTGAGGTCCTGGGTGATGGTGGTGCCCAGGAAACGGAAGGACTCCACAGAGGTGATGGGGGAGTCCATCACGGAGGGTGGGGGCGGGGAGGCTGTGCTCTTTCTGAAGTCCACAATCATCTCAATCATCTCCACTGTCTTCTGGGCGTTCAGCTCCAGGTTGTTACCACTGCACCAGGACACCAGCCGGTCCACCTCCCTCCTGCAGGCGGACTCATCGTTGTTGGAGATGAGTCCAATGAGGGTGGTGTCGTCCGCGAACTTGATCAGCTTCACGGAGTCGTGGCTGGAGGTGCAGTGGTTGGTGTACAGCGAGAAGAGCAGGGGAGAAAGAACACAGCCCTGTGGGGCTCCTGTATTTATAATCCGAGAGTCCGAGACATTCTTCCCCAGACGCACTCGCTGCTTCCTGTCCGTCAGGCAGTCAGTGATCCACCTGCAGGTGGAATCGGGCATGTTGAGCTGGGAGAGCTTGTCCTGGAGCAGGGATGGCAGGATTGTGTTGAAGGCAGAGGTGAAGTCCACGAACAGGACCCTGGCGTAGGTCCCCGGGGAGTCTAGGTGCTGTAGGATGTGGTGGAGGGCCAGGTTAATGGTGTCGTCTACAGTTCTGTTGGCCCTGTAGGCGAACTCCAAGGGGTCCAGGAGGGGGGAGGTGAGGGACTTGAGATGGGAGAGGACCAGGCGTTCAAATGACTTCATGACGGCAGACGTAAGTGCTACAGGTCTGTAGTCGTGGAGTCCTGTGATCCTATACATATAATGTAAAATGTGTCATGTAAACCTGTGAGTCCAATGATGTGTTGATAATTCAACAGATATTATTGGCTCATATACAGTATCTGAGGTAATAATCTTTTCTGAACCCACTCTGTACCACTCGGCACAGTGTGATGCCGTTTGAAATGTCACCTGTGAATAAAAACTGCTGATGCACGATGAGCGAGACATCCACATTCTAATGCGCTGCCGCTGTTTGAAAAGTGAGGTTTGAACTACGTATGTGTTTTGACTTCAATATGTCAGCTGTGAGACTGCTGCAGGTGATGGAGAAGAGGGAACCTAAAGAGGACTGATCAGACTAATTAGAAATATCAATATATCATGTGTGTATGATTATACTGTAAATGATCAGATATTAGTACATTAATAGCTCTGGAAGCACTGTTCTATTTGAACAAATATTCACTAAGGTTTGGAGATTAGATCCCGGCAGAAATACTGATGTCTGCAGGAGAGAGTCTAAACCCATTTTTAATCCTCTTAATGTCATAACTATCTCATGATTAATCACAATCACTAACAAATCACTTATAGAAATATGTCTGAGAGGACGTAAACATTTTTGCATGTCTATTGACCTTGTCAAGTGTGTATTTTGTGTTCTGATTAAAAATATAATGTAACACAGCTCAGTTTGGATGCAATTAAGCTCTACTTCATTGAGTTATGTATCAAAGAACCAAAAGGAAAACAAATCAAGCTAATAAAGATAAGCTGGAGCCTTTTGCCTTATGTTCCTCTCACAAACACTGGCTCTCATTCAAACAGTCTCACAGCTAATAAAGTGCCTGTTCCAGAGACCACCAAGGGTCATGGGTAATAATGGCTACCTCCTTTCTCAGCTCTTCTTTCTAAATTCAAATCTCTTGTCGGCTCCGGAGCCCTTCACCCTGTCGCTCTCGCTGTATTTCCACTGCTCTTTCATCTCGATTGCTGTCTCTCGAGTTTGGAGTCGGGTTTTGTTCCTTCCAGTGGCTCTTGTCTCACTGAGCAATAATCTTGGGTCAATACGTCTCTGCGTCTTCGCTTCTACTTGATGAATCAAATACGAGTTTTGTAATGCAATGGAAGTGAAAGGGTAGAACTCCTGAGTGATTCTCACTCAGACAGTTTTGGAATTTAGGTTTTTGTTTCATTTTGGGTACTACCACCATATATGAAGCCAGTCAAGCTGTGGTTATGGATATGCCGGTAAATGCCTTTTGAACGAATTGTGCTGTACAGATAAATGTATCATTCTTGCCCATGTTAGTGCACTTGATGTTTTAGTAGTACCTGGTCTCACTAAAGTGAACGTTGTGTTGCAGATGCTCAAACGGATACTATGGCCATCCTGCGACTCCTGGAGGCTACTGTCAGCCCTGTGACTGTAACGGGAACCTAGACCTGTCCTTACCTCAGAGCTGTCATCCAATCACAGGCCAGTGCCAGCGCTGTCGCTCTGGTTACGGGGGTGTGGCCTGTGACTTCTGTGCCAATGGCTACTACGGGGAGGCGGTCACAGCCAAGAACTGCCAACGTAAGTCCACAACCAGGAAATGTGTGGTACAACACATCACTACTCAGAGAAAAAAAACTAGGCACCAAATGACTAGAATCACTATTTTTAGGCCCGAGCCCCGAACGGTGAAAGGGCCTATTGTTTTTGCTCGAGAGATGTCAAATTCTGCACTTTGAGCCTTAATTTGACCCCCTGAACATGCATGAAAAGTTGTAAAATTTTGGCCAAACATCAGACCTGGTGAAAAATTTGATATTTTGGTGTTTATTTTTATGGGACTCAAAAAATGCCAGAACAGCGCCACCTACAACAGCCAATGGGAGTTTCAGAGGTCAAGTTTGTCGTAGAGCCATGAAATTCGGTACACATGTTCCTCAAGTCAAGATACGACCGAAATGTTATCATGGCTCTGCCCTCTGACAAACAGGAGGCCCATAAATTTCACTGCAAAATGGATAAATGAACAGCAATCATTTTCATTCATGTCGGTTGGAAAGCGACTCGGCCGTTTCACCGATTTGCCTGAAAATCACTCCACATCATCTCAACACATGTACCTTCAAAATGACCTCAGGGATTTTTGATAAGTAAAACGTTGTTTGAGCAGCGGACCGGCAAAATGTGAGTGTTTATTGGCCGACATTCTATTTGCTCCCGTTTGCACATACAAATTCCGATTTGCACAAAACTTGAATCCATGGTTCAACTCTTGGGTCTAGGTCATTTGAAAGTGAAATAATTGAACTTGGCTCTATAGCGCCACCTACAACAGCCAATTTAAAAATGCCTATGGGAGGGGTTCGAGGTCAAAATTGTCGTAGAACCATGTAATTTGGTACACATGTTCCTCAAGTCAAGAAATGGAAAAAAATGGATTATGGCTAATCCCTCTGACAAACAGGAAGCCCATAAATTTCATTGCAAAATGGAAAAATTAAAACCAATCATTTTCATACATGTCGGTTGGAAAGCGACTCCTCCTCGGCCGTTTTACCGATTGGCCTCAAAATTGTTCCAAATCATCTCAACACATTTACCTTCAAAATGACTTCAGGGATTTTTGATCAGTGAAATGTTGTTTGAGCAGCGGAGCGGCAAAATGTGAGGTTTTTTTTGGCCATTAATTTTGCTCCCGTTTGCACATACAAAGTCTGATTTGCATTAAACTTGAATCCATTGTTCAACTCCAGGGTTTAGGTCAGGTGAAAGTGAAATATTTGAAATTGGCCCATTAGCGCCCCCTAAAGACTGAGTCAAAGTTTACATGGGGAGCCAAACAAGCTCTACTTCATCATATTAATTACAATTTGACTAACAATCTTCTATGGCTACGGGAACAAATCATCACACGGCGGCACCACCTCCTTTGAGCGGTGCTGCGTGGTACGGTGTGGTGCGGGGCGTAGTGCGGGGCGTTGTGGAGCGGCGCATTGCGGTTTGGTGCGGGGCGGCGTGGTGCAGGGCGGCGGGGTGGTGCGCGCAATGCGGGGAACCGCGCGGTGCGGCGAGGGCCGTTTGACGCCGCTTGCGGCTTTAATTAGGCCCGAGCCCCCTGAACATGCATGAAAAGTTGTAAAATTTTGCCCAAACATCAGACCTGGTGAAAAATTTGATATTTTGGTGTTTATTTTTATGGGACTCAAAAAATGCCAGAACAGCGCCACCTACAACAGCCAATGGGAGTTTCAGAGGTCAAGTTTGTCGTAGAGCCATGAAATTCGGTACACATGTTCCTCAAGTCAAGATACGATGTGGTGCGGCGCAGTGCGGCGCAGTGTGGCGCAGTGCGGGGCGTTGTGGAGCGGCGCGTTGCGGCTTGGTGCGGGACGGCGTGGTGCAGGGCAGCGTGGTGCGGGGTGGCTTGGCACGGGGTGGTGCGCACGGTGCGGGGTGTGTGCGCGGTGCGGCGAGGGCCGTTCGACGCCGCTTGCGGCTTTAATTATTCTTAGGTCTTTTCTGGACTACAATGGATTTACAGTATTTACTTATGGGGTAATGTCACTGGTTTGAGACATTTCTGACCAGAAACCAATTTGTAGAGATGCATTGTACCAGGTTGCAGCAAGAGTTTAAAAGTATAGCTGCAGTCCCTGAGCAGGTTTTTGTCCACACATTACAGACATAAATTACAATTTAATTTACCATACAAATTAGAACAAAACTACCCAGGCCCATGGTTCACTTTCTCTATATACAAACATTCACAATAAGATCTAACACACACACACGCGCACACACACACATACCGCTTCTGTGCTTGTGATGGCCAAGGCCATATGTAGGTCCAGTCATCCTCCACATGAACAGGCCTACTTGCAGTAGCCACCCGTTCAGGTATGGCTGCAGTACAGTTATTATTAGTTGTGGTATCCATCTGTTTCTGTCGGGAGTCATTCGTTGTTGTCTGGCTCTGACAAAGGGGCAGAGAATTTGGATCAGCTGAGTCACACTAATGTGATTGTCTCAAACCAAATGTTAAATGGTCTTTGAAATACCAGGTCTGGAACACATAACCAGCAGAACCAGCCTAACCCTATCACAGAGAAGTGACTTATTGCATCTACAGTTGAATTTCCATGGAGCTTGGGGATTTTACTTCCAGAACCCAATTTCCCCTCCCATCAATTCAATTGTAAAACTCAGAGGTTTCTGAGAGGTTCCTCTCTGATGCAGGAGGGTCTAAGGACAGTGACAATCTGGGACATTTCTGCACATTTATTAAAAATTGCAGAAAGACAGTGGTCATCCTATGGACCAATGGCTCCTATTTTGTTATTATTGCATTTCCTGAGTTTGAACTGTCTTGTTGGTGAATCCACAACTTTATAAAGTCCTTCGAGACAACTGCTGTTGTGATTAAGGGCAATACACAAATAAATGTAATTGGATGTGAAACAGAAATTCATATTTACAGAAGCTAATACTGTATCTCCCTTGATCTCTTTATAACATTGGATTCAGGTAGAAATGAACCTGGAAATTAATGCCATTTTGATTGAACACAATGTAATCGGGCCAATAATACAGGCGTGACATCAGTGTCTGTAAATTGAATTAATCAATTGGATCAGGCAGGAGATTATGTCAGTTACCCGCCGGAGAAACAGTGCCTCTTCGGCTCCAGTGCTAACCACATTACATGATGAAACTCAGAGCTGGACGGGGGTGCGGCACCGGGGGAGCACTGTTTTGTCTTGGAAACTTAATTTGGGATAAACGACGGCTTTAATTCTGTAGAAACATGGGGAGGTGCAGGCGGAGCAGCTGGATGTGAGAGGAAGGGGAGACTTGTCCGACAGATGTGTGAGAGACAGTTTAAAACATAAGGGAGACGAGGATACCATGGACGACAGATGGGGCTGCTGTTAAAGCTTATCAGAGCTGTGAGGTGGGGTGAGTAGATGGGAAGGTTTATTACAAGTGAAATTAATACAATGAATAATGGAAGATCTTTCAGTTGTAGCAACCTGTTTTAACCTGGATTTTGCATATGTCTGTCTGTAGAAGAGCAGTTTAGCCTCAAAAAATCAAAACGCTGCCTTCTCCTGATAGTCCTGACTTTGGGCACCAGCAGGAGGCCAGTCCCTGTACTTAGTCTGAGTTTAATGCTGTGGTGGTTTTAAGCCTGCGTTTCTTCAAATGCATAAAGCTGCTGTAACTTCGCATTCTAACCTCTTCCATCACAGATACAGTGGAGTTACAGATCTCTGCTGAGTTGTCTCCTGATTTTGTTGTGACTTGCCCGCACTATGTTGTCTGAGGGGAACCATTTCACAGCTATTGAACACAAAGATATGTTGATTCTCACACTATCCTTTTGTATGTCTCCTTAAGGATCCCAATAACACTGAGCTGTACAATAAAGGAGATCACTTTGTATTTTGATTCATTTTGCACAATCAGGAATCAGTGGGGGTCCGCAGGCAAGAGAGGGTCAACCTACATACGGCTTACCTAAATCACGATCCCAAAGTTGTGGATTCACCAACAACAGATCAGAGAATCAAACTGTTTGAAAAGGAAATGCAACAATAACAAACACATAGTAAATCCGCACATTAAAAGCGGGTTGCACCTATATGCTGTTATCTACGGTAAACGTAGAAAGGGAAGCCGGGGGATAAAAGGGGATAAAAATGTATACAAAAATGTAAGTCGTGCAACTACATACACTGCACACTTGTTCACTGTGATGATGAATTTTAATCATTGCTTTTTGATTGCTCATCCCCGCGGCTTCCTTTTTCACGTTTACCGTAAGTAACAGCATAAAGGGGCAACCCGCTTTTAATGTGAGGACCACTTAACCAAATAAATGTCCCCCAGCAGACCGATGCCAAGACAGAGGGGAGTCTGACCAATGTTTGTGGTCCTCACAGGTCTCATATGGGCTTTGAATTTGTTCAGTTCGGTCTCATATACTTATTCTTTAGCTTGTCTCTATATCTCCTTTGATCTTCTTGCGTTAAAGTGCTGATATATAGTGCAATTCGCCCACTGAGTCTTTTAAAAGTACTCTTCGCATCCATGCTTCTATACTTCTATATGTGCCACTGTCTTCTTGCCACCCAGCGAGTAGCGCATGCGCATGCGGATGTATACAAAGATCCCCCTATACATGGGAATACTTTTGTTGCAATAACAGCAGCAAGTTTTTTGGGGTATGTTTCTACAAGATTTGCACATCAAGAGACAGAATGTTTAGCCCATACCTCTTTTCGAAGCAACTCTCAAAGCAACAGCTCTGTTAAATTAGATGGAGATCGTGACTTTGACTGGGTCATTCTGATTATGTTTTGTTTTAAACCATTTCATTGTAGATTTTGCTTGGGGTCATTGTACTGCTGGAATGTCAATCTTCGCCCCAACCTCAATTATCTTGCTGACTCTGGCAGGTGTTCTTCCAAAATGTCCTTTTATTAGGCTCATCCATCTTCACAGCTATTCTTACAATCTTACCTGTCCCCGTTTTTTTGTCCCAGTCCAGCCCTGTGCCTTTCCGACCAGTCCTCTCCTTGTTCTATCTTTTAATTTAGGTGGATGGCCATGTCTTAGTCAGTTCACAGTGGTGCCATACTCTTTCCACTTTTAGAATAATGGATTGAACAGCGCTCTGTGAGATGTTCAAATCTTGGGAAATGTTGGTATAACTTAACACTGCTTTAATCTTCTTCACAACTATTTAGTGACAATACACTCCGAACATAGCTCTGCCCACACATGACATTTGTATTTAGGCTGAGAGTAGATTTCACACCAGTGGCCTCTATTTAATCATTAGGGCAAGGTGTTTACATTCAGCAGACATTAGGAATGTGTTAAAGGCAATGTGATGCACTCACAAAAATGCATACTTGTGCAGGCCCTACTTTCTACTTTCCTGTTATTTTAAATAATAACTAAATCATGTATCATTTTACTTTCACTTCAGAGTTGTCCGTTAATGTGTGAAAACTTTCAGTGCAAAATTTAAAATAAAATCTTAGAGAGGCACTGTACTGAAACACAATACAATACCACAGACAGCATGTAACAAGACACACAAACACACACACACACACACACACATACACACACACTCAGTGAAAACAAGGTCTCTATTATTGTATTGTGAATTTGCTACTTGAGGTGTACCATAATACCTCTTGCTACTTTGTGGCCCAAATCCAAAGCTTGAACAGATCCGTACCTTTTCTTTCACATTCATTTAAATTGTGCAGTTCTTCAAACAGCCAGCAGATGGCAAACAGCTTAATTGATTTTGTGCTACAATGACACTGTTCCCATGATCCTTGTTTGTGTCTGGGCGCAGACTTTTCATCCCTCGGGAGGAATAGGTGTACACAATCATCATGAGAAACACTAAAACATTTAGAGCTTTTAGCACTGTTAAAAATCCCCCTCCCTCCAGCCCATAACATGTAGCGAATGCATGTTTTTCTAACTTTTTTTGCTTTTTTTGACTATTTTGCCAATTCTTGTATGAATCCTTAAAATTTATTTATAAATGACCATAAGAGGGAGCAACGGCTGTAGGCAAAGCTCTCGATTTACCCCTCAGTCTACACCCCCTCCCTCACCTCTGGCCCTAGCTTTAGGACGAGGTAGTGAATACAAAGCAGTCCACATGAGTTTGTGAGTCTGTGGAGCTGTGGAGCTCCCTTAGAGATACAGGACTCAGTCACACTGGAGGAGCTCACAGTAGAGCGGCTGCTCCCTTAGAGATAGGGGGAGGAGCTCAGTCCCCCGGAAGGAGCCCAGAGTAGACCCACTGCTGCCCCCGCAGCAATGGATAATGCGGAAGAAACTGGAAACTACGCCATAAGGTTATACATCTATTGGTACATCTGCAAAAAAACAATCTCCTCTGCTCTCACATTCACCTGGACCAGAGGAGGCGGCTCCTGGACTATAGGAGTGGCTCCTGAGAAGTGGCTCCTGGACAGTCTTAATGCCTGTTTGATGGTGCTTTGTTCTGCAGTTGTTTCCCTTCTCCCCCTCTCCCCCTCTCCTCCTCTCGACTCGGGCTAAATGCTTATTGATTAATCAGCCGGAGCTACGGCCCCCACCTCAGTGCCGACCGCTGCTCCTGTCTTCTCATTGATCCTGTTCAAATGACAAAAGACCCCCAGGAACTCAACGACAACTCTCTCTCCTTCTCCTTCATTGCCTCCCCCCAGCCTCTCTCCCCTCTCAGTCTCTCTCCGCTTTCATCCTCTCTCCCCTCCTTAGCCTCTCTCCCCTTTCAGCCTCTTTCTCCCGTCAGCATCTCTACCTTCAGCCTCTCTCCCCTGTCACTATTATACAATAAAAATCCTTCAAAATGTCGGCATCAAAAGAAATGAATGTTTTTTAAATGTCTGAAGGCCATTTTTGGAGGGCAAATACACGGATGCGTGAATGTGTGCATGCGTGCATGTGTGTGTTTTCTCCTCACTAATTCAACTGAACATTTCACAAAGAAATATTGTGTCATGGGGTAGATATTGGTTTTATTTTTTATTCAGTTCTCTTTGGTTTAGTTCTGGTTTTACTTCTTGTCCCGTTCCCACGTTGATTGTCTTCTCTGCCCTAATGTGTCTCACCTGTGTCTCTCTGCGCAGGTGAGAGACACCTGGGCCTTTATCCCCACCGTTGTCAGACTGTACAAGTCACTTTAAATCACTAATGCACTAGGACTGAAAAAATCACTATTGCCACTCTTTCTATTACTGCCACTTTTTTATTGTACATAATTATATCCTGCACAGACTATATTTTTTACCTTTAACATGTTTGTACACTTCTGTCTTTTGCACAATCTGAGGGATTCTGTCCATGCCAAATGTGACATGTAAATGTCTCCAGTGTGATGGACTCTCTCTCTCTCTCTCTCTCGACAGATGTGTATTTTTGTACCACCTTAACACGCAACAGTTGTCTTGGAGGACTTTACAAAGTTGTTGATTCACCAACAACAGATCAGAGAATCAAACTGTTTGAACACAGGAATGACAATAATAACAAAGACATAGGAGCAATTTCATTGAGATCCAGGACTGAGGCTGTAGATCCAGGACTGAGGCTATAGATCCAGGACTGAGGCTGTAGATTCAGGACTGAGGCTGTAGATCCAGCACTGAGGCTATAGATCCAGGACTGAGGCTATAGATCCAGGACTGAGGCTATAGATCCAGGACTGAGGCTGTAGATCCAGGACTGAGGCTATAGATCCAGGACTGAGAATGTAGATTCAGGACTGAGGCTGTAGATCCAGCACTGAGGCTATAGATCCAGGACTGAGGCTGTAGATCCAGGACGGAGGTTGTAGATGCAGGACTGAGGCTATAGATCCAGGACTGAGGCTGTAGATCCAGGACTGAGGCTATAGATCCAGGACTGAGGCTGTAGATCAGGACTGAAGCTTCAGATGTCCCTGATGTCACTTAATCATCAGGAAACCACTCAAAAACCCAATGTGAAAACAATGAGAAACCTCAGGAAGGCCCATATTGAAAGAGGGATCAACTCCGACAGCTCGCTATATGTAATTCACAACATTTAGTCAATCTACCAGCCTTAGTATAATGTAGATGAGCTTGTCTTGCTTTGAAAAACAAATCTAGCACAACATCTCTACAAAAGCAAGTTTTTTTCCTGATATCAAGGATGGCATTGTAGCAGTCGGCAGCCCAGGCTCCAGATGGTCTCCTATGGGTGCTGCTGGGTGGTGCTAAGGGGGGGCTGGGTGCTGGTGGACAGACTGCCTACATGTGATTATGTCCTGAGTTTTAGCAGATACTGCCTCTGGAATATACAATTTACTTTATGTTAATGACGGGGCATCTGGCTTAATAACCCCACCCCTTTTGCCTCCAACGCTCACTCTTTCGCACTGCTCCGGCGCCGCAGAGGAAAAGACAAGTGTTAGCGCCACGACATGTGGTGCTGGTGTTCCTTGAGAAGCATGTTTCCACAGATGGGAGCTGTGAGGATCACGCTTTTTATTGTAAATTTAAAGTCTTGAGTGGCATGGATTCTGTTTTGACCCAGAAGGATTGTAAATGTGCATAAAAGAAAAGGAAAGAAGACAGATAAAGGACTCATAGAATACAATAAATCTAAATTGATTTGTATTGCACAAATTGTGTACAGTGCTTCACAGGAGCAATTTAAAAACACAAATCAAAATGTATATATACAAAAAGGAAATAACATCAATATACAACAATTTCATATTAAAACAAAGAAGCTTAAGGTCCCACAACCTCAGGAAGACTGTTCCAAGTTATAACTACATAAATCTGAAACGCTGCCTCCGCATGTTTAGTCCTGACCAGCACTAGGGCAGTCCCTGTGCTTCTGAGTCCCAGCAGGAGGCCGGCCCCTGTGCTCCTCAGTGTTGGTTCGTATGGAACTTACATGTTTCGAATGTGCTTAGGTACAAGGCTTTTCTTCTGTGATTGGCAAAGCATACGATGAGTGGTAGCCTGATATATTTAGTTTAAATACACTCTGTTTTCAGCTTGCCAATGCCACACAAACGGCTCACAGTCTGACGTGTGTGAGCAGCAGACGGGACAGTGCAAGTGCAGGGAGAACGTGATTGGACGACAGTGCGACCAGTGTGTGGTAAGAATCCGGACATGTGACCGTGAACACACATGCGGACACACGCACACACACACACACAGTTTATATTCTTTGTTTTTACATGTGTGTAATGGTAATATGGGCAGTAGCAGAATCCCCACATGTGGACGTGTTCTGTGTTTCCAGACTTATATTACATATATACCGTATATGATATTTAGCAGCATCTTCCTAAAGTCCTCTTCTATTAATTCAATTTCAATTCAATGTATTTGTGTCTCACCCTAAATCACAACAGCATTTGTCTCATAGGATTTAACAAAGTTGTGGATTAATATATAACTGAAATATTACCGCTAGGTTTGCGTCCAAATATAGTCTGCAGCAGTCCCGCTCCCGTAGGTCTCTAGAGGATATGATGTAAGCTATCTATATCCAACCGGGCTTGATTTCTTCTTTGATCATTTTTTGCCTTAGTTCCATCTTCTCCTTCTCACTATTGCGTAGTTCATTCGAAAATGAATTGGGTATAGCTTCTTTAAAGATGACGTTTGTATCAAAGACCACTCTGAGGCTCAGCTGCTTCTTTTAAACTTTTCTTTTGTTTCAAAACTTAAACGTTGCATCAGTCTGTTCCACCTCTGTGGAGACTTTCACTCTTACATTTCTATTTGCTCCTCTTCCTCTCTCCTCCTCTCTCCTCTCCCCTTTTCTCATCTCTCTCCCCCTCATGGTCCTCTTTCCTTCTCTCTCTTCCTCTCACTCCTATCTCTGGTTCTTCCGGCCCTTTACTCTCTCCTCCTCTACCCTCCTCTCACTCTGGTCCTCTCACCCCTCTCACTTCCTCTCTCCTCATCTCACCCCTCTCTCCCCTCTCTGGGCCTCTCTCTTTTCTCATCTCTCTCCCCCGATATGGTTCTCTCATCCCTTTCTCTTCCTCTCTCGTCCTCTTACCCCTCTCTCCCCTCCTCTCGCCCCTCTCTCCTCCTTTCTCCTCCTCTTTCCTCCTCTTTCCTCTATCACCCCTTGGCTCTCTGATCCTCTTGCTCTCTTCTTGTCCCTCCTCTCACTCCTTTCCCCCACTCTCTGGTCCTCTTGCTTTCTCTTCCTCTCACCTCTCCCCCCCTTTCTGGTCCTCTGGTCCCAGCCCGGCCTCTGGTGGGACCCGGACACAGAGGATTGCGTGCCTTGCCGGTGCAGTCTTCTGGGCTCTCTGTCTCAGTTCTGTGATGCTGATGGCCTCTGTTCCTGTCGGGAGGGGTATGTGGGCCGCGGATGTAACCACAGACAAAGCTCTGCGCGCAGGGAGGCGCGCAGGGAGACACGCAGGCCCCTGGAGCGCATGCCCGTGGAGGCCGTGCAGCAGAGATGGGTGTCCCGTTCGGGCGGCTGTCCCAGGGGCGCGTACAGGCCCAGTGCAGGGGTACGGCTGCATGAGTGTGCTGTGTTCTCTGTGTGGAGAATGCTGTGTGCTCTGTGTGAGATGAATGTTGAGTTATGTTTCAATTTTTAATAGAAGGTCACGGAGGTACTATCAAGGCTTTGGTACTCTCTTTTGACTCATTAGTTGATTAAACTGAGGTCTGAGAACTACATCAGAACTGCATAATTCTACCCTCGACCAATGTGAAGGCACAGTTTGCATGTTCTGCTCGTTTTGCGTTGTACTGTACGTGTCAGCACCTGTGGACTCACTCCTGTTTCCCCCACAGGCAGAGACGCATGGCCTCAGCTCTGGGGGCATGTGTGTCCCCTGTCACTGTAACTCGTTTGGATCCAAATCGTTTGACTGCGACGAGTCGGGTCAGTGCCGCTGTCAGCCTGGAGTGGGTGGAGCCAAGTGTGACCGCTGCTCCAGAGGTTACTTCAACTTCCAGGAGGGAGGCTGTACACGTGGGTATTCACCATAGCGTACCAGGAGTGGACTGAGATACTGTGACACCACAGTGTGAGCTGGTTTGAACATAAGCTAGCTGTTGCCAATTTCCCTATAGGGGCATTTGTTCCGCTAATGCCATTACAGGGGGAATATGTATCGCTTAAAAGGTTGCTAAATCAAGCTGGAGTTTACCCTGCAAATAAAGAAATCTGATTGGTCAATCCGTATAAGGGTCATATCTGGATTTACAAAGACAATATCACAATTTAAACAGCAAGATCTCAGAGCACTAAACCACAGATTTAAAAACTATAGTGAATGTGACACTTCACCATGAGCACTTCCCTATTGGGCTGCATTGAGTTAGTGGGTTAGGATTATACATCTGTATAGTATAGTCGATGGCAGAACATTTATTGTAAATCATTTCACATTTTCACAAAGTGATTGAGTGGTTCAGCAGCAGATAGTTTGTAACGTTTCTCACACTCGGGAGAGTAGTGTCGGAGCTTGTCAGACAGTAGCGAGAAAGTGTTACAACGCTTCTACTTTTTTTATTCACAATTACAGCCTACGTTTTCTTTTTTGCTTCAAACCAGACAGTGATTATGTGAAGCAAATCCAAGTTGAAAATTAGAGTTAATTTAACTGCTTTATAAACTAAGGCCGCATCAGGAAGTCCATGTATTCTGTAGTTTAGTCATTTATTTTATTCAGTTAAACAGAAAACAAAACATAGACACACAAAATAAATTACACTCTGTCCTTTCTTTTCCTAATCTTTCAAATATTCTATTTAATTACAGACAGTAACATACAGTATGGTTGGGCATACACAGTAGATGCTCACATAAACCTGATAGATTTTCCAATAGCACCGGAGCTAATGCTAAGAATAGTGCTTTTCCCACACAATCCAGAGCCATGTCTTATTGATGCCTGCAAGCTCAAGAATAAGACTTTGAGCACTTCAGAGCAAAGAAAAGTTCATAGAGGTAATTATGGGATGGATTGATTTGAAGCAGCTGTTGTGTTACATTGGGTCAGGCATGTAGGAGGAATTTGTTGCTTGGGGTGGTTCCCATAGACGCTCTGTGAGGGATGTGGGTCAGGATGTAAATGGAAGATCAGGAGAGGGCTCACACTGACAAATATATGAATTAATGATGCTTTGAGTTGAGGAATGTCAGGTTAATGACTATCTATCCCACTTTGTGATGTTTAACACATTGATGCATCAAGCTAAACAAATCCAGTGTAACGTTCACTGTGACTGGGATGCATAATTGGTTGTTGTAGTTACACACAACTTGCACCTACAACTGGTCCCAAACAGCTTTGTTGCTTACACAATTATGGAAAGCATTTTGTCCACACCCTGAATAAAGTTTTCTCAATAAAGGCAGTACTGTGCTGTCCAAAGATTTTACATAAATAAAGTTAAGACAGACTTTGGAAACCTTTTAAGGATCACCCTCCCTGTACAGGGAGGATTCAGATATTTTTCATTTAACAGCATCAGTATTAGAATTCACTTGTGTCAATATAGTCAAGCTATATCTCTTTTGAAAGCTTATTCCCACCTCTAAACGCGTATTATGTTACAATAAACATTTAATATAACCAAAAGTAAGAATAAGTAGTCAAACTGTATATAAAATATATATTGTCCTTTCTTACATGCTATTTATAGCAAGAGTAATAGCTAAAAAATTATATAATTGGATTTTTGGTGTAAAACATTGATAATTTGCGTGTAAAACAGTTTGGCACAGTTGGCACAAAAATGGTAGCCTGACTCTCGCCAGACCCATGTAGTTCGCTGCACTTCACACATGAGTCTGGTACTGAGCCATAGTGGTTGGATTTCAGAAGGCAGGGCCTTGTAAAAAAAATCCTTGTATGTGATTGGATAGACCACTTGTCCGTTATCTTGAATGAAGTCTGCTTTCAACCACTCACAGCGAAGCACTCGGCTCCCATAGGTTGCCAAATCCCAGCAAGATTTTCCAACCCAAAATCCGCGAAAATACCCACACACAAAAAACACTCAGAATGATTTTTTGGCTAAAAACGTCATATAATCAACTTGGGCTATCATGATTCTGTTTATTGTCTTTCTGTTTATTTAATACCTACAAGTCTCTTGGAAAAAAAATATGAGGGAACCACCAAACCTGGCAACCCTGCTGCATAGTGTGTAAACAGGAACACTGAACCAGTGCTTCAACCAAACTTTACAGGAACATTTGACTCTTAAAACACACACATATATCAACATAGAACCATCTACATCTCGCCTCAAATTGCATTAAAAGTGACATCCGTGTCTTAATTCGATCGTATTTACTCTTTTAAAAAGTTTTGCGGACTTTACGTCCGCCATCTTGGATTCCTCTCGCTGCTGCATGAGAGTAGCTTGACGTAACACCGGCAATCCTGGTTGGTCAATTAAAAAATAATCTGGGGAAGGCGTTCGCTATGGCGTTGATACCAGACCCATGTGGTTCAGCCAAACGCCTCTGGTGGAGCATGGCAGGAACTACAAGGGTCTGGCAGAGCCAGGCTACAAAATTGGACCACTTGTGCCAAATGTGCCCATTAGTCACAAAAAAGCCCCCAGCATCAAAATAGTTCCACCTAAAGGTCTAATATTCCATACAGGTGTTGCCAACACCGCAAACATCTGCTCTGGTGAGTTTGAGCATCATACCATAAAGTATGTCTTCAGGAGAACCTTTTGAAATTGCCTTTAATTTTTTTTGAGACAAAAAAAAACTAACTTTCACTCATGTTTGAGAAGGTGTAGTGCAGACTGTGTCCTTCCTACATACATTTCCAGAAACTAGAAGGTGTTACCTTTCAAATGAGGCCTCATAACACAAAATCAGACACAAGATGTCCACACAATAAGCATTTCCTTTTGGGTATCATAATTCGAGAAGGAGCAGGCGAAATTAGGTGATCCTATTAAAATATCCTTAAATTGAGCTTCCATTTGTTTTGTCTTGATCAGCGTGCGATTGCAGTCACGTGGGAGACAACTGTGACACCAACACAGGTCAGTGCATCTGCCCCCCCAACACCATGGGAGAGAGGTGCGACCGCTGCGCCCCCAACCACTGGGGACATGATATCACCACAGGCTGCAAGGTCAGACTACACAACATTAATCTGCATGTCGTTGTTTAAGTGAGCACTGGGTGTGTCTGGGTTGCCCTACATGAATGTGAGATATGTGGGTTTGGTCTGACATGAGTTACATCTGGAACTAAACTACACAATTATAGATGGAAAACTATTTCTAGAATTGTATTTTGTAGTAGTCTGCAAAATTAAGCAAAAATAGCCATCATCTCATTTTGCAAATCTGTGTTCATTAGTGGCATATTACTGGCTGGCAGAAAGTCATATCTGAGTTATTGCAACAGGGTGAAGAAATCTCTTGTATTTGGCTTTAAAATTATTTTTTAACTTGGCTATCACCACTGCTTCTGCTCACTTTATTACTTTAATCTTCCTTTAAATAAAACAGCTCAAAGTCTTTTTGTAAAGTCCACACCACTACTCTCTCTCCCACCCACTTGCCTGCTAGGCACCAGTGGTAGTAAACCGCCGATTAGCAATTAGAGAGGCGACATAAAAGAAGAGATAGTTGGGTTTTGCAGTGCATTGATCCGCGAGATAAGTATGCTGCTACTGATCTTACACGTGTCCAAGCAAAGCAAGCGCAGAGTGACAAAAGACTAGAACATGAACACTGGGTTCGCCCAAAAAGACAGTGCAGCTCGACAATAAAACAAGACAATACTGGAATCAATGCAACAAAAAGAAGAATTTCATGTGCATGAAATCTCACCTTTAATGTGAAATAACTGGAAAGTAGAATGTGTAATTATACAGAAAAACAACAATATCAAGCATGTGTGCTTCAGGCAAGAGAAGCATGAAAAGGTTCTGTTTCAGTATTTCTACAATTTTTGCTGAAGATGGTAATCAAGCATAGTATTACTTTAGTGGTCATTAAATATGGTGTAATCCTGTCCAGTCAGCAGCTTCACATGAAGGAGAAGATTAGTATTTCAAGAAAGAAATGTGAAAAAGTGTAGACTTGTAGTGCAGACCTGGCTTGTCCAAAAATGCTCTAGCATACCTCAACTGGCACTGTTTGTAGCTTAGAATGTTATTTTAGTAAAATATTTTTTTAAGAAACTAGTACTGCTTAATTACATGACATGTTACAGCGTTATACTTCCGCCTTCATCAGAGGCACTGTTTGTGGCGTGTGCAGAATAAAATGGGGAAACACAGAATTAAATACCCTTTCTCCTGGGTAAGCAATTATGAGTTCCAAAAGTGTGTTCTAATGGTGTTGAAATAATAAAAGTAGAGGGTGCGGGTCTGTAATTCTTGCAAATTTTCTGTTAATGATACAAAATGTATTTCACTTCTCAATATCACTGTTTGTTTTCTATATGATATATTTAACTGAAATGTCCAAACAACCTATGATTTATAATTGGTTAGGAAAATACTAAAAATTCTTATGGGTGACCAAACCTTTTAATTTCACAGTATGTGGAGGAGAGAGAGTACTGCCTGTGTTTTTGAAATTAAGGTATTTCACTTTTTGGGTTTTGGGGTTTTCGATGACTGGTGGTTCTGCCATGTTAATGCTTTTAGATTTGACTGCCGTCTTTGACACAGTTGCCCACGCAACTCTTTTAAAGTGATAGTCTGTCATTTTAAATGAATAACAAATTTTAGGAAATGTGTTAAATTGACCTCCTGGCCTAAAATGTTGATATAAAATAAGTCATTTTATGAATTCTAATATTACGGGCAAGTCCCGCCTTCCCTTCTCTTTGCTATAGTTCAGAATCCACGGTGCCGTCGAGGTAAACCAATCGAGTCATGCCAAGGGCTGTCAATCATCGGCGCTGATGCTCGTAGCTGCGCGCATGCTCAGTTGTTTGTTTTCACGGAGCCTCCGAATCAAGCCTCTATTAGGCTCTGGAACTACATGAAAACTGAACAAAGAATTCTGAACATCTGCGCTGAGGTACTTATGTATATACTGACCCTATATCCATAATCAGATCCTCTGCAGATGTGTCCTATAATATGATAATAGCTTCTTCCGGGTTTGCCGCGATCGCTTTTTTTGTGCATAAAAACATTCTTTTTTTCATTAAAACGTTAACGAATAATTCTGAAAACCTCTGTGCATGTGTATTGATAATGTATATGTATAATGTGTTCTCTGATTAACATTTAAAATTGTTACGGAAACGTAGGCTTAGAACAATCAGAAAGGAAGGGGGAGGGAGCTTGCGTCGTTTTTTTCAAATTAAGTACCTCTCTGTCTCTCTTTCTGACAAACTGCAGACAATCACTTTAAATTGTCTGGGAAGGTCTGACGGAAAGCCCTGGAGTGCTTCAGGTCTTTCCTCAGTTGGAGATGCTTCTCTGTCAGACTGGGGGACTCCACTTTTTCTACTCCTGCTAAACTGTGGAGTCCCCCCAAGGTTCCATCCTCGTGTCCCATCCAGGACTCAGGCTGTAGATGCTTTGGTGACTCAGAGCTCAGTTGTCCCATTTTGATGCCATTTTGATGAGGTAGAGTCACCCTCATGTTGATGGTTGATGTGTGTCTTCAGGATTGCGCCTGTAACTCTCTGGGCTCCCTGTCGCAGCAGTGTAACATAAACACTGGTTGCTGTACATGTCGAGAAAATTTCAGGGGAGAGAAGTGCAACGAGTGTCAGATCGGCTTCAGAGACTTTCCACAGGTGAACAGTACTAACCTGAAAATATTTTTCTATATATTTATAATTTGTTGTCAGAAACTTTAATCCAGGGCTGCCCAACCTTTTCTGACCTAACGGCTACTTTTTAATTAGCAAACCTCCAAAGGTCTACCAGTCCAGCGTCAACATCAAAACCCCAGTTACAGCCGTTACAAACAACACTTCTTCACACAACCATAAGACATCAGATTACTAACTTTCTGTTTTTATTTTGAACTCTTTGCTCCTCACAATCTTACACAAAAACAAACACAATCTGCATTTTGAGCAATAGCTAACTGGCCATATTATGAACCAAGCAGAAAAAAGAAACCAGTTCAAAACCAGATAATAGAAATGTTACGCGTGAAACTACAGTTCTATGAATCAGACATCCAAAAGCAGTGCACCACTGACTTTTCAAACAGAAAACCCCTGCTCTGGTGGACAGAAGTGAATAAATAGAACTGACAAAAAGAAGATCTCTTCCTACCTTAGTGAGAGACTGACACTGGGAGGAGGCTCGTTTCTCATAGAGTGTAGGAGGTTGTTAACCAGATCGGAGCGGGTCGGAACTGTTGAATCGCTGCTAAACTTTAGCATGGCTGAAGGGAAATGAGCTAAAACCTATCATTTTCATCCTCAAAGCCTATTTGTCTGATCGGCAATGCAACGGTGGCATTGGCAAAGAAAGCGAACCTGAAGCGTCATTTTCGAACAGTACCCTCACTTTGGTGCCTCGCAGTGCCGTTTTTGCGGGGAAATCTCTCTCCTAGCTTGCGTCTACTGTTCAAAAATTACGCTCCAGGTTCGCTTTCTTTGCCAATGCCACCGTCACATTGCAGATCAGATAAATAGGCTTTGAATGAGAATAAACAAAAAAATAATCTTCCTCCCATTCAGGATGAAAATGATAAGTTTTGGCTCGTTTCCCTCAGCCTTGCTAAAGTTTAGCAGCAATTCAACAGCTCCAACCCGCTCCAATCTGGCTAGCCGCAACCATCCGCTACTGTTGTCCAACAGTGGTAACTTCCTGAGATGCGTGTTTACTTGCTGCCATAGGTTCAACCTGACCTAATTTTTATTTTTATTTTTGTCTTCTGATTGCTCAAGTATACTGCTTTAATCACTTGATTTAAAGCAAGACTTTGTTTTCTAACCCCCAAAAGTACACATAGCCACACTCTAACACTCTAGCCTCTCCACAAGAAGATCCTGGGTTTGAATCCTTGTCGGTATAGGGCAGGTTTGCATGTTCTCCCCGGGTCTGTGGAGTTCTTAGAGAAACATACAACCTGCAACCTACCACTAAAAACATGTTCTTGGTAAAATCCTCCAGCTCTGGTCCTGACAAGAATCCACACCTGGACATGGGTCCCAGTTACTATGGTGACCACTGCTCCTGACACAGGACGGGTAAAATGCAGGTCCCTGACCCTCCCCTTGTCCCTGACTTCCCCTGGACCTGGTCCTGGTCCCTGAGCCCTACCTGGTTCTGGTCCCTGGCCGTCTGGTTTGGGTGTGTTTGATGCCGGTAAGTGGTATCTGACTGTCCCTTTGTCTGCAGTGTATCCGATGCCAGTGCAACGTGGCAGGCTCTGACAGAGAGACCTGTGATCTGGAGCAGGGTGTCTGCGGCTGCGCTCATCACACCGGCAAGTGCAGCTGCAAGGTGCATCCTTCTCTTTCTCCTCCCCCTGATCCTTCTCATCCTCCTCCTCCTTCTTCTCCTCCTCCTCCTCCCCCTCCCCATCTTCTTCCACCTCAACCTCCTGTTCCTCCTCCTCACCCTGCTCTTCCTCGTTCTCCCTCCACCTCCCTTCCTCATCTTCCCTTCTGCCCACCTATTTGCTTGTGTAGACAGCCTTTCTGTGGGTTCATGTTGCCGAACGGGAATCGGTGTGCACACTGTATTTGTTCATGATTATGGATCTCTTATTTGAAGATGAGCTCTTAGGTTAATTTTTTAGTCAAATAGATAGAAAAAATCTTCAGTTTTTACTCCGAGTCTCTAACACTGTCTAAACAAACTGTTTTACATCTAACCTTAAAGCAGCGTTCTCCACAGTGTACCTGTTTAATTTCTGCTTTCACCAAACCTGTCAGACGTCACCTGTAGCTCTCACTTCTCAGAGTAATTAAAGCTGGTCTGTAGCTCTCAATTCTCAGAGTAATTAAAGCAGGTCTGTAGCTCTCAATTCTCAGAGTAATTAAAGCTGGTCTGTAGCTCTCATTCTCAGAGTAATTAAAGCAGGTCTGTAGCTCTCCCATCACATAGTAGTTAAAGCCGAGATAGTCAGATGGATCTAAAATGTACTTTCTCTCTGTGAGATTCCTCAGCGGCAACGCTTTGACAGGGGACTCACACTAATTGGATGATGTTTTGGAGACAAGGTTTTTTCAGTTTGTCCAGGCTGTCCATTTTTCCTCTGCTTTTAGACTAGTCAGCTCGTGGCTTATTTACACAGCGCCCAGCGTAAACATGGGGTCGAGAGAGAGGCTCTGTATTGAGCACCACACTTTGCCTGGTTTCTGTTGCATTGTCTTTGTTGCTTCTGTTACTGCAGCTAGTGGACCTGCGTGTTTCCCAAAAGGGGCAAGACCGTATGCAATAAATATATACAATAAAGTTTCCCAAATCATTACAGATGAATGAAGGGTGTGAAAATTCAATTCAGTTCAATGTATTAGTGTATCACCCTAAATCACAACAGCTTCATCTCAAAAGACTTTACAAAGTTGTGGATTTACCAACAACAGATTAAAGAATCAAACAGTTCGAACACATAGAAGCCATTGGTCCATAAGTGTCCAGAAGAGTTAAAAAATGTGCCAAAATGCCCCGGATCATCACTATCCTTTGACCCTCCTGAATCAGCAAGAAACCGCTCAGAAATCCAGTGGGGGGAAAAAGTGAGCAACCTCTCAACAACCCTACAGAACCTGCTGACGTCTGGAGCCGTTTGTAAAACCGTTTGTAAAACCACCAAAACACAATGCAATAATTAGCATGATATACAAAACAGAAACACTAATATTAGACCTGTTACGCAGAGCAGGGCCTGGTTATTACTGTGATGGGAGATCTCTGGGAACACCAGGTGCGACAGTGGGGAAGCTGTAACCAGAGAGAGAGACCAAAAAGAGAGAGAGAGAGAGAGAGAGACCAGAGATCTGATGGAGACCTCTGGAAACATTAGGTGCAACAGTGGGGCGGCTGCAGCTGTAAAGTACCAGTAGAATAAGTGGCGTGTGTGTGAATGGTTGGTGGTGGTGGCCTCGCTTCTGTCAATGTGCCCCGGGACAGATGTGGCTACAGTAGTAGTTGATCACTGTGGACTCTGTGAAGTGAATGAATAGGATTAAGATTAAGAATAAGAGATCCTTCATTTGTCCCACGCTGGGGAAATTTCAGTGTTGCATCACAAGTTATAGATCAGTAGGAAAGAGGAGCATACAGTTAAGGAAACAATAGCAATACTATCCATCCATCCATCCATTTTCTTCCCCTTAATCCATTTCTGGGTCGGGGGGATGGCCAGAGATGCCACCCAGTACAAAGAGCACCAGCCCCTCACTGATCCTCCTGCAGGTGGTGAGTCCACAGGAGCAATAGCAATACTAATTAAAATAAAACATAATCTCTATATCTAGCATCAATAACAAGTATAACAACTAAGTCTTGAAAATAATAATAAAAAGAGGTGTAAAAGTTTTACATTTGGGAAAATAATAGGCAAGTATAAAGTACTGTGTATTCTAGTGCAATCAAAGTGTAGTTATATGTTAGCATCTGTACATGTTAGCAGCAGTATGTTTACATCTGTACATTAGCAGCAGTATGTTTACATCTGTACAATAGCAGCAGTATGTTTACATCTGTACATTAGTAGCAACAGTATGTTTACATCTGTACATTAGCAGCAGCAGTATGTTTACATCTGTACATTAGCAGCAGCAGTATGTTTACATCTGTACAATAGCAGCAGTATGTTTACATCTGTACATTAGTAGCAGCAGTATGTTTACATCTGTACAATAGCAGAAGCAGTATGTTTACATCTGTACATTAGCAGCAGCAGTATGTTTACATCTGTACAATAGCAGCAGCAGTATGTTTACATCTGTACAATAGCAGCAGTATGTTTACATCTGTACATTAGCAGCAGTATGTTTACATCTGTACAATAGCAGCAGTATGTTTACATCTGTACATTAGCAGCAGTATGTTTACATCTGTACATTAGCAGCAGTATGTTTACATCTGTACAATAGCAGCAGTATGTTTACATCTCTACATTAGTAGCAACAGTATGTTTACATCTGTACATTAGCAGCAGCAGTATGTTTACATCTGTACATTAGCAGCAGAAGTATGTTTACATCTGTACAATAGCAGCAGTATGTTTACATCTGTACATTAGTAGCAGCAGTATGTTTACATCTGTACAATAGCAGAAGCAGTATGTTTACATCTGTACATTAGCAGCAGCAGTATGTTTACATCTGTACAATAGCAGCAGCAGTATGTTTACATCTGTACAATAGCAGCAGTATGTTTACATCTGTACATTAGCAGCAGTATGTTTACATCTGTACAATAGCAGCAGTATGTTTACATCTGTACATTAGCAGCAGTATGTTTACATCTGTACATTAGCAGCAGTATGTTTACATCTGTACATTAGCAGCAGTATGTTTACATCTGTACATTAGCAGCAGTATGTTTACATGTGGTTATTGCACATTCTGATATAAGTTAAGGATTTTGCAATGATGCATGACACGTGCGATCAAGTTTTCAGTGTTCATCAGTCCTTATTGTTTGTTGTACAGTCTGACAGCAGCAGGAAGGAAAGACCTGCGGAACCTCTCCTTCATACATTGAGGATGAAGGAGAGGTTCCGCAAGTCTATAATAAGGTTCTATATAAATAAAGAGTATTCTTAAACTAATTTTTATTGGATGAAATGTATTGATCAAGAAATTATTGCGATCAACAAACATATTGAGACGACTTTATGCCATTGAGGCTAATAACATGAATTCTGATTCCAGGAAAGTCCATTTTATTAAAAAGCACAGGTTCTAAAAATAAACAGCAAAATTAAGCAATATTGCAGATTCAAAATATTTTATTTCCATTTTACGCAACAAGAAGTGACTAGAAAGAACATAAAGACATGCAAACACAAAACACATAATACAATTCCAAAATATTTAAGTATATTCAAATTAGGACTGTTAAATGATTCAAATTTTCAGCTTAGAAATTAATTACTTGTAATTATTTGCATTTCGAACTATCAGCAAAATTATGCCATTTTTTTCTGTAAATGGTTGTTTGAATAGAAAGATAAATGACGACATAGTGTACATATGTACTGTATTTGTTTATTATAACAACAATAAACCCACATAAAATTGCAATTAACAATATTAACATTCTGTCTTTCTGTAGTAGACAGTATTTTTTCAGCGCGACATATTCCGCTTCAGCTAAAGCCTCCTCTTTCTTTTCTGTCTCATAAAGGCTGTGGATTCATTATTGTGCCTCTTGCTGGTGACTATTAGGATGGGTCGAGGGACGTTACTCTCACTGTTTTAGCGAGACCCTTATCTTTAACTATGGTTTACGCAAAGACACTCACACAACAAGCAGAGAAGGGTTCTGTGCGCATATATGGTCTTGGATATGATCACGTTGCGGCGGCGTTCGCCATGTTGTTGTCAAAACAGCTCACAGCCCCTGGGGGGTGAGAACCGCTGTCCAGAGCGGCCGCAGCTGCCTCGGGTCAGAAAGCTGCGGCCATGGAGGATGCAGAATCCCGTTTGAGTGCACTGTCGCCATCTTAGACACGCATGTGTCCGCAATGTTATTATGGATTGCATGAGCGGGTCTTTCTGTACATGCGTCAAATGTGTGTGTTTTTTTTTTTAAAGCGATTATCAACAAATGTTAATGTGATAATTTTGACAGCCTTAATAAAATTACATTTACCAGAGCATAAAGTAAATACATCTAGTGATGAGGACAAAAGCAATAATTTCCACTATTGTAAAGAGAATTTACAGAGGATAATTGTTTATCCATAAATGGATGTTTATGTGGGACTGTTGTGTTTCAGGTGAACGTGATGGGAGACCATTGTGATCAGTGCAAAGCCGATACATTTGGACTGTCGCTGCAGAACCCTCTGGGTTGCAGCAAGTGTTACTGCTACGGACTGACCCACTCCTGCTCCGAGGCCCCCGGCCTCATCCGGATGTGGGTAAGGAATACAGCAGCAGGAGGGGGAGAGCTGTGGGTGAGAGAGCACCACAGTGGTTGTGCTATCAGGCAAGACACTTTACCACCCACATTAGAAAGAATCTGGTGTGTGTGTGTTTTTAATGGGTGGTGGTGGTGGGAAGGGTCGATGGCACAGATTGGCAGCCTCCCTTCTACCAGTGTGCCCCAGGGCAGCTGTGGCTACAGCAATAGTTTATCACCACCAATTTGCATCATTCAAACAATAGACTAAGTCTCCTTTAAACGTTCAGTAAGTCTCCTCCCAATCATTCATCTTCTCGACTTAAGTGACAGAGAAGGCACTGCAAGAATCCATTTGGAAAACACTGCCTTTAACCACAAGCCGCAGTCAATAACAAACCCTAAGTCACATTGAAAGATACACAAAACATACAGGGGGGATAGCCCACGTTATATTCAAATGTTACTGTCTTTTGGAATGATGGTATAGTCATGTGTCAGATACAACAGATTTCTTATGTCGTCCCTAAATGGTGAGCTCAGTACTTGTCTTGTACAGCAGCGTGAGGCCGAGCTTTGTGCAGCGTCCTGTACCCCCATGAGATCTCTGTAATTAATCGTTGCCCTCCTCTTTGTTACACAGCTCACACTGAGGCAGGAGCAGACAGTGCTCCCCCTAGTGGACAAGTCTAACACTCTGGAGACCAGAACCGGAGTGACTTTTCAGCATCCGGAGATCCTGGCGCATTCAGAGCAAGTCGCACCAGTGCTGTCGGAGCCATACTACTGGAAACTCCCTGAGCAGTTCAGAGGATCCATGGTGAGTGGAAGATTTGTTGAATATTCAGGAACTACATCTGTTTTACAAAAGTAACACTGTCACTGGACACATTCTTACTGCAGGCCAATAGCACATGTTCAATGTCAGGATTCTTCATTGTTCATTATACAGTCTGACAGCAGCAGGAAGGAACTGTTCCTTCACACAGCAAGGGTGGAACAGTCTGTCACTTTAGCTGCTTTCCAGACAGAGTGTCCTTCAGAGGACAACAGGCATTGTTCTGTGTGGATGATCCCTTGTCTGGGAGACAAGCTGGACTTCCTGATGATCTATCAGTCCCTCTCTGTGATGCCTCTGCTCTAGCCGACCACTCCAGCAATGGAACGAGTGGTCCTTGTTCTCCAAAAGACTCTCCTCAGCTCTGGCTCCTCTTCTAGTTTGTGGTTCAAATGAGCAGCTCTGTACTTATCCTAGACCTGTCGCTCACTGAGCCCAGACTGATTCACGTCGGTGATGTCACAACCAGAGAGTGACACTATCCAACTAGGGATACGAAAGTAGATCTTAAATCCTGTTCTTGTTCCTCCAGATCACAGCATATGGCGGGCAGCTTAAGTATGCAGTGTATTACGAGGCCCGAGACGAAACTGGGCCCTCGTCCTATGAGCCACAGGTCATCATTAAAGGAGGCCCCAACCATAACATGATCATGATGAGACACACCACAGGGTTGCAGATTGGACAGCTCACCCGCCACCACATCGACATGACGGAGGTGCTACCACACTCAGACCTCACTGAGAATGAAGATCCTTATGTAGAATTGTGCCTTTTTTGTCGCATGAATACTAATTATGTTTTCATCTAGTAACCTGTCACCTGTGTGTGTGTTTGTGTGGTTGTGTTTGTGTGTGAGTGTGTGTGTGTGTGCGCGTGTGTGTGTTTGCATTTTATGTTTACATATAAGCAGTAACATCAAAATTAGAGTCTCAAAAACATTGTTCAGTTATAGTTTTATACAGTATCTTTAGTGAGTGCTACAGTTGTCTATAATATTTGTGTTCGTGTGGGTTTTCAGACAGAGTGGAAGTTTGCAGACGGCCGGTCCATGACTCGAGAAGACTTCATGGATGTTCTGTTCTACGTGGACTACGTCCTCATCAAGGCGTCGCACGGGAATATGATGAGACAAAGCCGGTAAAGACCCATTCCAGGAGAAGGAGCAACTGAACACGTGAACATCCTCAGAGAGTCAGCTTTAGTCTAAAGTAGACCAAATGTACTCCTCCGAAAAGTAAACTGGATCCTATTCATAAACAAAACTCACAAAAACGTTTATTTACGGTCAGATTATTGTTTAGGCCATTTTTTTGTGATCTTCAGTATTTAATCACACACAACATATGTAGAAGCAGTATATGTATAAGCATAAACTGCTTCTGATTTGTAGTGACATTCCCGCTCTAATGGCCTGTTCGAATTATGTCTAATCTGCTTCTTCCGCATTAAGGCTAACACTAGGGTGATGTCACACTCAGTCAGTCCACTCCACATATACAGTTTATGAGTGGAACATGTTATTGAATAGATCTAACACATACAGTATATGTTTCCGTATTCTAGGGTATTCTCCCAAACCCAAATTTGTATACTGTACCGTTTTGATCAGTTCTACAAAGTTCTACTCCATGTTTCTTGATCATGTTATTACAGCTGGATCATGGTCCTTTTCTATCTTTTGTTGGCAGTATCTCTGAGATCACTCTGACGGTGGCTGAAGAAGGTCGACCCACGAAAGAGAGTGAGAAAGCTCATCAGGTGGAGAAGTGCGAGTGTCCCCTGGGTTACTCCGGTTTGTCCTGTGAGGTGGGTGTCTTTACATGCAGATATTAAGGAAAAGTAGTATCTTGTCTTTATCAATGGAAGGATATGTGTGCAGCATTTCTCTGTCAGAAAAAAGAGACTATAGCCCTGTTTCCACCAGCCCTACTCTACTGTTCTCAACTCTGGTCTCTCTCTCCCTGGTCCCTCTCTGGTCACTCTCTCCCTGGTCTCTCTCTTCCTTGTCCCTCTCTAGCCTCTCCCTCTGGTCACTCTCTCCCAGGTCTCTCTCTCCCTACTCTAATCTACTCTACTCTACTCTCCCCCGGCTAGAGGGAGTGTTTCCATTGGCTCTGTTTAACCTTCTTTGGTCCCTCTTGGCTCACAAAGTAAAGAAGAGTATAGTAGAGTAAAGTAGAGTCAGTGACATGTAGTGAGGTTTGTGATTGGTGAGGCACTGACTTCACCCCAATTAGAGGTACATATATACATATCATATAAATCAACAGGACCTACAGAGCGACTTAGCTACAACACAATATGTTTCATGTTCGCATTGTTTGCTCATACAAAACGCAAAAGTATGTAAAAAGCACATTTAAAATTGATGTTTAAGGCCAGATAATAGTTTGAGCGTAGATATGTAATCCTCCATTTGGAAAAGTTTTTAAAAGTAAAACACAACGGGTGTCTCCTCATAAACTCCTCTCTTTCTTAGCATTCTTATCGTCATTGGAAGCAAAACATTACCCTAAGTGGTTTTTAATTTATCTTAAATGTGTTATATGTATTTTAGCCAAACCTGTTGCTGCCCTTAGCAGATGAAGAACAAGAAAGGAGCTTTCTGATGGAATTGGATGCAGCCAAATTCTGGGCTCACAAACGCCCCCTCCCCTTAGGCTGGCCTCACTTGGTGACGTTACAGGCCGTGGTTAAGCGCAGTTAAGACCCATATTTGTTGTCAAAAACACAATTTATGACCCATCCTCTCAACTGTAGACATGTAGAATGTAAAGGAAATATGTTTGAACTTTTTAAACTGCGATAAACAGAGAAAACAGTTTGATAGCACCCAAGAGAGGCTTGCAGAGATTAACCGGTTTTACAATAATCGCGATTATAAAAGCCTGCTGTAGGTTAACCGTAAGGATTTAAAATGGCAAGGTTTACCGCTGGTCCGGAAAATTCTTGCGCAAGGTGCAGTACGGGTTGCTACACACAGTGCAGCGCAGACTCACCGGTACTGACTTATGTCAGCAATGTGGGATCACTTTGGGAATCCAAAAGATAAGCAAGGTGTTGTTGCTTTAGTGTATGTCCAAGTCAAGGTAATAAAACTGCATCATTGTCAATAATGTAGTCTAAATGTTGAAAAATAAACGCCAAAACTATCTCAAGTGCACATTAATGCAAAGAATTCTGCATGTGTGAAAGTGAAGGTATGGTGGCACTGTGGCTGAGTGGGTAGCACTCTCGCTTCTCAGCAAGAAGGTTCTGGGTTCAAATCCCGATCGGAACAGGGCCTTTATAGGTGGAGTTTGCATGTTCTCCCCGTGTCTGCGTAGGTTTCCTCCGGGTACTCCGGTTTCCCGTACCACTAAAAACATGTACAACAGTTCAGGTTGAATGAGTGTGTGTTTGTGAGAGAAAATGTGGGACAACGGATGCCAATTAGTCCATGGCTACAATCCGTAGTGATGTGTTCATTAAAATGTACTGTCCCAACTAAATAAACAATAAAATAAAAAATAAAATACTAGCGTTGGCCGCACGTGAGCCGGGAGCCACTCTTAAAGAGACAGAAGCATGTATCACCAGCAGCAGCTGCATCATCACCAGCAGCAGCTGCATCATTACCCAGCAGCAGCTGCATCATCACCAGCAGCAGCTGCATCATCACCAGTAGCAGCACCAGCAGCACGACCACCACCACCATCCTCATCCCCAGCCTGCTCCAAAGCAGCCACGCCTTCTTCATCTACAGCGCCTCTGAAGCCCCAATCCTCACCCCAGCCTACAGCAGACAGGCCTGTGCTGGGGTTTCCTCAACCACCTGCCCCTCCATTAAAGACTCCCTCGCCACCTCCCAAGGACCTGTCTTGGGTCCCCCCTGCCACGTCCACTCCATCAAGAGAGAATGGGGACACCTCCCTTTGTTTTTCATCCCCGCCTTCACTGTTAGACCTACCTGAACACTCTGCAGGGCTAATAAAATCGGCGATGAAGACTATTCCTCTCACACCCATATTAGCTCGATCTAGAGTCCTGTCCAACATTCTAAACCACTCCCCATATGTACCACCAAAACCACCTAGGGTTTCCAATTCACCTACAAAAACCACCTCAGCCAGTCCCTCCCCTAACCTCATGACCATTCCACCCCCACTTCCCCCTCGTTCAACATCCAAAACCTCTGCCTCAGCCCACCCCGGCCCTAACCCATCACCTAAAACCCCTCCACCTCCCTGCCCCCCTCGTTCAACACCCAAAAGCCACCCACCTCTCCATCCTCCTCCCCCGCCTTCCCCTACCCCTCTTTTCTCTAAACACTAGGATGCACAGGGTCTCTGCTTCGCAGCCACTGGCAGTCTAGTTAGAGGAGAGACCCGGCTGGGGCCCTGTCATGAAGCCACCTGTGCCATTCCCTTAGTGATAACACAAATAATACATTACAGAAAAACATCTGGAGTTAATCAGTCTAATCTGGAAAATCTAATTCTTGTTCCGTGTAAGAATCAGCCGACCGCAACCGCTGATACTGAAACTTTGAAACTTGCTACGCTTAATGTCAGATCTCTTTGTAACAAGTCTTTTTTAATCAATCATTTTATTTCTTCTCATAATCTTGATCTTATGTTCATGGCTGAAACTTGGCTTGACCAAAATTCAGAAAATGCAGTTTTAATAGAAGCATCACCACCAAATTTCAAGTTTGAATCTGAAATACGGGAAAACAAAAAAGGAGGAGGCTTAGCTGCCATTTTTAGAGACCACTTTGTCTCCCATAGAATGTCTCTTGGGAAGTTTTCGTCATTTGAATATGTGTCTTTTAAAATACAACAAAAACAATCTCCTCCAATACTCTTCGTTGTCCTATACAAGCCACCGCAGTCATGTCACAGTTTTATTGATAATTTTACCGAGTTGCTTTCAGTTGTATGCACAGATTTTGATAGTTTGGTTATTACAGGTGATTTTAATATTCATGTGGATAATGTTGATGACAGAAATGCAAATGAGCTGAGTTCTGTACTTGAATCCTTTGATCTCACTCAGCACGTAAGTGGCCCCACCCACAGCAGAGGGCACACTCTAGATCTGTTAGTTACAAAGGGGGTGATTATTTCAAATGTAAACGTGGTCGATGTTGCTCTTTCGGATCATTTCTGTGTTTTTTTTGACATGTGTTTCACTAACAAACCACCAGTGGACTCTGCAACTGTTCGAAGAAGGCGCATAAATGAAAATACGAGTGAACTATTTATGGAAATGATAAACTTTGAGAATGCATCGTATTCTACTGTAGATGAACTGTTTAACTCTGTCACCTCTAGTGTTTTGAATGTTCTGGATACCGTTGCCCCTGTGAAGGTTAAAATAGTGAAAAATAAGCAGAAGGCGCCGTGGGCTAAAGCAGACTCGGTCAGGGCACAAAAGAGAAAGTGCCGGAGGGCCGAGCGGAAGTGGCGCAAGTCCAACCTCCAGGTAGATTACGAGATCTTCAAAGATAAGTTGTGCGAGTTTAACCGGGTGCTACGTAGTACGAGAGAAAGGTATTTTTCTGAAATGATTGAAGGCTGCAGCAACAATCTGCGTGTTCTGTTCTCAACAGTTAATAGATTAACAAACCCCCCTGTTCAAATGCCATTAGAGCTTACTTCCAAACGTAAATGCAATGAGTTTGCTAATTTTTTCAATGACAAGGTTCAAGGCATCAAAAGCGCCATTGTCTCCAATCCACAGATAACCATCCAACAGCCAGAAAGGCTCTCTGAGCTAACTCACTTTGCACCTGTAAATGATAAAACTGTCCAAGAGATAATCTCCAGTTTGAGCTCCTCCACATGCAGCCTGGATGTACTACCCACTAGATTTCTGAAGTCTGTTCTGAGCAGTCTGTTACCTTCACTCACACAGATAGTAAACATGTCCCTTCATTCTGGAATATTCCCAAAGGCCCTGAAAACTGCAGTCATCAGGCCCCTGCTAAAAAAGAGCAGTCTCGATGCTACGGTACTTAACAACTATCGTCCCATCTCAAATCTGCCATTTATGGGGAAAGTCCTTGAGAAAGTTGTCTACCTACAGCTTACTAGATTTCTTATAATCAACAACTCATTTGATATGTTTCAGTCCGGCTTTAGACCCCACCACAGCACTGAGACTGCTCTCGTTAAGGTTACAAACGATATCCGGCTGAACACTGACGCAGGCAAAGTCTCAATCTTAATCTTGTTAGATCTAAGTGCTGCCTTTGACACCGTCGACCATGAGATCCTCTTACAGAGACTAGAGGACTGGGTTGGCGTCACTGGCACCGCCCTAAGTTGGTTTAGGTCTTACCTTGAAGACAGGAAGTACTTTGTGGAGATTGGAAACTGTGTCTCAGATCATATGGCCCTGACCTGTGGAGTCCCACAGGGGTCGATCCTGGGACCTCTTCTGTTCAATCTCTACATGCTGCCGTTAGGTCAGTTAATACGCAGAAACAAAGTTTCCTATCATAACTATGCAGACGACACTCAGATCTATGTCTCACTGACTGCAGGAGAACATGGACCAGTGGACTCACTCCTTCACTGTATCCAACAGATCAGTGAGTGGATGCAAAACAACTTCCTTCAGCTAAACGCAGACAAAACTGAAATGATTGTCTTTGGTCCCCAGAAACAAAGAGAGAGCGTCATCTGTCACCTACAGTCTCTCTCCCTAAAACCTTCAAACAAGGTCAGAAATCTAGGGGTAATACTGGACTCAGACTTAAATTTTAATAGCCACATCAAATCAGTAACATCAGCAGCTTTTTACCATCTAAAAAACATTGCCAGGATCAAAAACATAGTGTCTAAAGCAGACCTGGAGATTCTTATCCATGCATTTGTCTCCAGTAGGTTAGACTACTGCAATGGCCTGCTCACAGGTCTGTCCAAACAGGCTGTAAAACAGCTGCAGTACATTCAAAATGCAGCAGCTCGAGTCCTGACTAGAACCAGGAAGTACGACCACATTAGTCCAGTTCTCAGGTCTCTGCACTGGCTTCCTGTGGCTCAGAGAATAGACTTTAAAACAGCTCTGCTTGTGTACAAGTCTCTCCATAGCCTCGCACCAAAATATATTAGTGACATGTTAGTCCCATATGAACCAGCCCGGACTCTGAGGAGCACAGGGACTGGACTCCTGTTAGTGCCCAGAGTCAGAACTAAACATGGGGAGGCTGCTTTTCAGATGAATGCTGCTAAAATCTGGAACAGTCTTCCTGAAGATGTGAGACAGGCCTCCTCTCTGACAATGTTTAAAACCAGGTTAAAGACGGTTCTGTTTAACTGTGCATACAACTGAGGGATTTTATATTTTTATCTTTCTTTTTAATGTTCTGTGATAATTTATGATTTTAATGCTTTCTTGTTTTGTTCAGCACTTTGAATTGCCTTGTGTATGAATTGTGCTATATAAATAAACTTGCCTTGCCTTGCCTTGCCTTGCCTTGCCTTGCCTTGCCTTGCCTATCCTTAGTCAACAAAACAAATGCAGACATAACACATAGACTACGACAATGGCTTCTACTACTACACAATTATGCTATATATATATATATATATATATATATATATATATAAGTATAATAAACTTATATTTATACTTTAATAATTAAATCTATTATGTTCAGCTATTTACATATGGATATTTAATAATACATACAATAAAATCATGTAAAATATTATATGATAATCTTAATTTTTCCATTTATTTTTTTCCAGCAAAAAACTCAAAAAAACAATCTTTCATAATGTCAATAATCGTGATTAATCGTAAAATCGCAATATTTTCTTTCACAATAATTGTGACTCAAAAATGTGAAATCGAGGCAACCCTACCTCACAGCGTGCCGCTCTGTCAAATTTCAGAAGAATATGACAAATCTGCGATTTCAAGGTAAAAATAAATGAAATAAGGCCAGTGCAGCGGCCACTCCTCCACCTGTGACCCCAACCCGGCCATCTGCCAGAAGGTTCTGGGTTGACTGGAACATATCAAAAAGAATTATTCATTGTTAAAAATTCAGTAAGTTGTTGGGAGGCCAATTTTCAAGGCGATTTTTCCAATGATATGGGCAGATCGATATGGGGCGATAATTTTGAAGTCCCGCAGGGATCCAGACTCTCTTTTTTCGGAGAGGTCTTATGACTGCTGCTTTTAGGGCTATAGGAGTGTGCTGGACGACAGAGACTTGTTTAACTATTTGGTGTCAGTGAAGGTAACAAACTGATCAGGGACGGACTTCAGAAATTTAGAGGGCAATTTATCCAGGCTACATGTGGAGGTGTCTACGACTCATGATTTCTTTTTGACAGTTTCAGTATCACAGGTGCAAAGTTGGTTAGCTCAAAAAGCTTCTCTGGCGCTGTTGGCATTGTTATACGTGCTGTGGAGGTGATGTGGATAGTGTTTTTTGTTCCTGTGTACTTGGTTCATCGAAAAACTGTCGCGAACTCATTTACCACTAGATTTAGAGGAAAAATCTAGGGGCAACTTTACAGGGGGTGTTCGTTCATCTACCAAAACTGTTGAAAACATACACGAAAAATTGTTATACTGAACCTCCAAATAATGTCAGAAAAATACATTCTCTTGTTCTCGTTAGAACCCGGTTAAATTCACCCAACTTCTTCTTTAAAAGATTTCATAACTCGCCTGGAAAATTGGACTTTCGCACTTCCGTTGGCCTCCGGCACTCTTGCTTTGTGCCCTGACCGAGTCTGCCTTCGTCCATGGGCCTTATTCTTACTGGTACTATTTTTAACCTGTTCACAGGAGCTATGGTCCAGAACATTCAGATCACTGGTGGTGACATGAGTTATACTCAATTCTTCAAACTGTAGAGCATGGAGTTTTCTCAAAATTTAGCAGTCCATGAACAGTACACTGTGTTTTCATGTATGTGTCTTCTTTAGCAAGTGTAAATTCAGCTGGTGGTTTCGCTAGCAAAACAATGTCAAAAAATACACCAGAAAGGATCTGACAAAGCAAACATCAACTACATTAAGCATTTGATACATTAACCCCCCTTGTAATTAGCAGGTCAAGAGTGTGCACCCCTGCTGGTGGGGTTGGGGACACCTCATTGTGCGAATGAAACCAAAGGTATCAAGTATGAAGCACAGCTCCTTTGCATTTCTGTCATCAACATTATCAACATGTTTCATTCAATATCACCTGTAATAACTAAAAACTATCAAAATCTGTGACCACGATGAAAGTAGTTCAGTAAAATGGTCATAATATTCGCAACCTGGACTGTGGTGGCCTGTACACGGATTTATGAAGACATTTTCATTCTTTCCTGGCAGCGTCACTGTGATTTGTCACAAGGGCCCACGGGATCTGCGCAGGACCTTCGGAAGGAGGCGAGGAAGATACAGGGACGACCCGTCCATGGTGGGCGAGTGCGGTGCTCCTCAGGTGGGAGGAGGTGATGTGGGAGAACGCCCTCACTCTGGTGCGAGTGAGTGAGGAGGTGATGCCTCAGACAAGCTGAATTGCTGGGGGATAACAACGCTCACAGCAGCAGTAAGACTGCACAGTGCCTGTTCGTCACCATGCCCCTGCTAGCAGTGAACCCCATCCTCCTGCTCAGACTCATGTCACCGCTGTTGAGGAGGCCTTAGTGTAGGTTGTGGGCAGCGGATCTTGGAAAAGCAGGTGCAGCAGCCTCCAGCAAATAAACCCCACACAAAGAAGTTGCCTGTCTTGTGGCAGCCAAATCCAATATGAGGGCTGATGGCAGCTACATCTCGTGTTTTACCAGCCGGTCTCTTCAGGTATTTCTACTGCTCCTCCAAGGTCTTTAACACCTATCGCACAGAGGGTTTGACCAAACTCCTGGATGCCATTCCGTGACTTTATGGACACTGAGTTCTGCCAGAGAGAGCTGGAGGCCAGCAGCAGAGAGTGAATGGCCTGGCAGGAGAGAAAAGGATGATTGATGAGTCTCCTCCTCCACTGGGGAGAAAGTGCTGGTTCTAGCAAACTGCAGCTGAAGCCAGGGACCACAGTCCTTCACAATTCATACACAATTCCTGGTCTGTCAGGAAAATACAATCTCTGCCCTGCCAAAGTATTTTCCCTGTACAAGGACCAGGGGATGGAGACGCAGATGTTCCAGCAGTCTCCTTTTTTATGGACCGGGAGGGGAAAGTTGGCAGTGTAAATAAATGAGCTATCTGTGTCTATTGGGTGCTGATTGTATATAGTTACTTATATTTATTCCTGTCTGTTCATAAATGTTTATAAATATTTTAATTATTATGTAAATTTTATACTTAATATTGGATTTATCTATATATAATTTCATTTGTAAATGTCTGCATCTACAGGTTCTTGTATTGTCAGCCTTCAGCCGTCACAGTCAACAAGGCTCATCACACAAATACAGTTTAAGAAGATAAAGATTGCATGTTGTTGTTTTTCTTTTAAGTGTATCTCTTAAATTTGTAAATATCTCTTTTTTTCATCTGTTCCACAATAAATATATTATAATGTATACTTTATTGAAGTCTTTCATTTTTATTGATTCATATTTCAGGGGCAAACAACAGTTGTATTTGACAAAACAATCTGTATAGAAATAGTTGTTTTCAGTTCAGTGCAATCTAACAATAGCCCACTTACGCGGCTGGCCCCCGGCCCGGCCCGACCTTGCCTAGCTTCCGAGATCAGACGAGATCGGGCATTCTCAGGTGGTATGGCCGGTAAGCAAGGGGGTATGGAGCAGCGTGCCTCCTGACCTTGCTGCTGCGGGGTCCTTCCTCCCCCAGAATGAGCGTCAGGCTTTACAAAATCCGGGTTTACAGTGTTGCTGACCTGATCATGCTGCAGACTGACGAAAGGAGTTGTGCAGCATTGAGAAAGTTGTGCACCCCCTCACACTGATTAGCTTTTCAGGACCTGTATATTACAGTGAAACTTCTGGGATTCGGCTGTTGACCGGTAGTTTGTTGTCCCCTCTCCTCATACAGGAGGCTTTAACATGTAAATGAGAATGCTGTGAGCTTATACAAATTGCTATTAGGTTGAGGGGTGTGCACAACTTTGCTCAATGCTGCACAACTCTTTTCAGTCAGTCTGCAGCATGATCAGGTCAGCACTTGTAGACCCGGATTTTGAAGGCTGAGGCGCTCATTCTGCGGGAGGAGAGGGGGACCGCAGCAGCCAGGGTCAGGGAGGACTCGCTGCTCCATACCCCCGTGCTTTCGACATACCACCGTTGAGAATGCCCGATCTCGTCTGATTCTCGGAAGTAGGAAGGTCGGGCCGCGGGGGCCCAGCCGCGGTATAGTGGGCATAGTGATGATGGCACTGAATGAAACTCTATTTTCTATACAGATTGTTTTGTCAAATACTATGTTGTTTGCCTGTAATTTGGATCAATAAAAAGAAAGTTCTTCATAATGCTATGACTTTATATATATTTATTGTGAACAGATGAAAAAAGAAGATATTTAAAAATTTATGAATTAACTTAGAAGAAAAACAACAAATGCTATCTTTTTCTTCTTATTAGTTTTTGTGTGATGAGCCTTGTGACTGTGACGGCTGAGAGCTGACTATACAGAAACTGTAGATGCAGACTTTACAACATGAATTTATATAATTAGATATAATCAATATTAAGTATATATTACATAATAATTAAAATTATTATAAACATTTAGGAACCAGACAGGGTATTATTATCGTCATAACTATATTACAATAGCACAATAGAAAGCAGATAGCTCATTTATTTACACGCCACCTTCCCTCTCCCCGGTCTTTAATAAAAGGAGACTGTGGAACATCTGCGTCTCATCCCATGGTCCTTGTACAGGGAGTATACTTTGGCAGGGCTGTAGATGTATTTTCTGACAGGACCAGGGAATTGTGATTGAATGTGAGGACGGGTCCCTGACTCAGCTGCAAGTTTGCAGAACCAGCACTTTCTCCAGTGGAGGAGGAGACTCATCACTCTTCCTTTTTCTTCTCCTGACGTCAATTCACTCTCTGTTTTTCCTGCGTGGCCTCCACTCTCTCTGGAGAAGACTCAGTGTCCATAAAGTTCGGAAAGGCATCGTGGAGTTGTCAAACCCTCTGTGCGATAGGTGTTATAGACCTTGGTGGAGCCAGTAGAAATACCTGGTAGACCCGGTGGTAAAAACTAGTGGGATGAGCTGCCCATCGCCCTCAGATTTGGATTTTGGCGGGCCACAAGACAGGCTATTTTCTTTGTGTGGGGTTTATTTGACTGGAGGCTGTGCTGCTTTTCCAAGATCCGCTGCAACAACTTCTCTATGGCCTCCTCAGACAGCGGTGACATGAGTCTGAGCAGGAGGAGGGGGGTTCACTGCTGCAGGGGCATGGTGACAACAGGCACTGTGAGGTCTTACTGCCTGCTGTGAGCTGATGTATTCCCCCAGACTTCGCATTGTCTGAGGCATCACTCCTCTCACTCGCACCAGAGTGAGGGCGTTCTCCCTCATCACTCTCCTCTGGAGCACCGCACTCCCTCATGGACGGGTCGGGTCCTGTTCTTCCTCGCCTCCTCCGAAGGGTCTGCAGCAGGATTCCACGTGGGCCCTTTGTGAAAAATCACAGTTGACGCGGCCAGGAAAGAATGAATAATGTCATCATATATTCCGTACAGGCCACCACAGTCATGTTGCGATTTTATTGACCATTTTTACTGATCTATCTTTCATTCGTGTGCACTGATTTTTGATGTTTTGTTTTACAGGTGATTTTATTGTTCATGTTGATAATGGTGATGTGACAGATAATGCAAAGGAGCTGGCTTCTGTACTTTGAGACCTTTGGTTTCATTCAGCACATGAGTGGCGCCACCCACAGCAGGGGCACTCTCTTGACTGGCTAATTACAAAGGGGGTTAATGTAACAATTGTTAATGTGTTGATGTTGCTTTGTCAGATCATTTCTGTGTATTTTTTACATGTGTTTTGCTTGCAAAACCACCAGCTGAATTTACAATTGCTAGAAGAAGACACATAACATGAAAAACACAGGTGAAACTGTTCATGGGATATGCTAAATTTTGAGAAAACTCCATTGCTTCTTACTGTTGATGAAATTGTATAACTCTGTCCCACCAGTTGTTCTGAATGTTCTGGACGCTCCATTGCTCCTGTGTCGGGTAAAATAGTTCCAGTAGAAAAGGCCCCATGGACTAAGGCAGACTCGGTCAG